TCAGCTGCAGCCTGAGTGCCTTGAACACCCTCGGTGTAAGGTGGACGCTGCTTTGACTTTGGGGGTTGGTGTGTGAGGAGCAACAACTCAGAACAGGAAATGGCTTTTCCTTCATGCTCCCTCCTCCCTCTCTCTTAACTTCAGAAAACACACAGGGGGCTGGGCGTTGTGGCACCATGGGTTAAGCTGCTGCTTGGGATGAATGTGTTCCCTATTGCGTGATGGTTCGAGTCCCATCTGCTCTGCTTCCAGTCCAGCTCCTGGCTAAAAGCAGCAGCTGATGGCTCAAGTCATTGAGCTCCCACCACGCCTGTGGGAGACCCGAATGGAATTCCTGGTTCCTGGCTTCAGTCGTGCCCAGCCCTGGCTGTGTGTCCATTTGGGGAGTGAACTAGCTAGCAGAAGGAAGATCTCTGTCTCTCTCTCTGTCACCCTGCCTTTTAATCTCCACAGCTGAGATCGGCCACTTTGGAAAAAGGCACAGGCTGTGACAGGACGGCCACCAGGGTGAGGAATCCCTGTTACAGCCGTCCGCTCATGGGGTCGTGCAGAGAGACTCCCACAGGCATCGCCCAGCCGGAGGCGAAGAAGCCCTTACAGCTTCCAGGCACTTGCCCAGGGCCTCTCCAAACGTGCTGAGCACATATCCCTGGTTGGACAGCACGCTTAAGAGTGCCAGTACCTACCATCCCGTAGCCCATGGCACACTTGGCTAACAGATGTCAGCATTCCTTCCCAGCAAGCCAGAGAAGTGGCCCATTTCAGTCAAGGCACCGGAGTTGGCAAATGCTATCACACCTACTTAGCATCTCCTCTCATTGCAGGGAAAGCCCAGCGCTACAGGCTACAGAGATGGAAGCAATGTTGTGTCTGCCGCCAAGCCTGGAGGCAAACCTGGGAGTGTAAATCCAGGCTTAGAGGTACACGGAATATTGTGGAAGTACATGGGAGGCAACGACCAACTGTGCCTGGGGTGATCTTGAAGGATGAAGAGGCCTGGGAAGGTGAGCAGCATGCTCCAGGCAAAGGGACTAACACATGCTGAAGTGTGGGAACATGAAGCACCAACACAGGCGCAGGAAGAAGGAAATCTGTACTGGGAGTGGGAGGCACCATTTCCCTTGACTGCCCGGAGCCCTGGTGACGTCATCAATGAGTAATCTAGTACCCGCCTCCTAAGGTGGTGGAAAGGACTCCATGAAGCATGCAATGCCCGCCGTGCTGCCCGGGGCCAAAAACCAGCTGCTGGTGATGTCTGCAGGGTCCCAGGGGCACGGGCTGCTCTTTGGCAACTGAGCCTGAGCAGGTTTGAAGGCGAGGAACGTCAGATTTGGACAACTTTTATATTTCCTTTGCTAACTATAAATATATTTAGGGGGCCGGCGCCGTGGCTCACTCGGTTAATCCTCCGCCTGCGGCACCGGCATCCCATATGGGCACCGGGTTGTAGTCCCGGCTGCTCCTCTTCCTGTCCAGCTCTCTGCTGTGGGGGTTAAAGTGAATGAGTTAGGGGGGAACACATCATATTTGACCCACAGCAGATAGAGACCCAAATGAGGAATTAGAGGATGCTAGGATCTTTTTTTAAAACAAAAAGATTTATTTATTTCTTTGAAAGTCAGAGTTACACACAGAGAGAAGGAGAGGCAGAGAGAGAGAGAGAGGTTTCTCATCCTTTGGTTCACTCCCCAGTTGGCTGCAATGGCCGGAGCTGCGCTGATCTGAAGCTAGAGCCAGGAGCTTCTTCCGGGTCTCCCACGTGGGTGCAGGGACCCAAGGACTTGGGCCATCTTCTACTGCTTTCCCAGGCCATAGCAGAGAGCTGGATCGGAAGTGGAGCAGCTGGGTCTTGAACCAGCGCCCATATGGGATGCTGGCACTGCAGGTGGCAGCTTTACCCGCTACACCACAGGGTCTTGTCACAAGGTTACCACCTGGAAGGGTACATTTACGCTCCTCGGGCAATGTTTGTTTTGCTGTAGCCTTACCTGCTGTGAGCATTCTCATCCTCATTTAAAATGAAACTTCACAAGTGTGGTGGCCACAGAGCACAAAGCAAAGGCACAGGGTTGTCTTCAGCATTCCAGAGCAGGAGGAGAGCCCACTGTGTGTCCCACACTGGGTTCTGTGCTCCCACCTCTCAGGACTTGGTTTTTATCCAACTCTTGGACAGGAGAGTGATCTAAGGGTTGGTATCAAATGTAGTTGAACATATTGGCCCTTTTCACACTTTAAAAGGAGTATTTTGTTTGTTTGCCTCCTTTATTAAAAAATATTTATTTATTTATTTGAAAGAGTTAGAGAGAGAGAGAGAAGGAAAGGCAGAGAGAAAGAGGTCTTCCATCTGCTGGTTCACTCTCCAGTTGGCCACAATGGCCAGAGCTGCACCGATCCAAAGCCAGGAGCCAGGAGCTGCTTCTGAGTCTCCCCGCAGGTGCGGGAGCCCAAGGACTTGGGCCATCTCCTACTGCTTTCCCAGGCCGCTGCAGAGAGCTGGATCGGAAGAGGAGCATCGGACTAGAACCGGCGCCCACTTGGGATGCTGGCGCCGCAAACGGAGGATTAACCTACTGCGCCACGGCACCGGCCCCTTGTTTGCCTTTGATTATGGTTTTAAGTTCTGATGGAATTAAATCTACAGATCTTTTCTTTTGTGATTGCTTCTCCTTCGCTCTAGGGATTTGCAAAGCAGGACCTTTCAGCCCGCCCTGCCTAGAGAATCACCATTCTCTCTGGGCCTCTGTGAAGATGTGATGCCTCAGCCTCTTTGCAGCTGTAGACACTTGAACTCCTCAGTGCAGCTCAACAGTGCAACCGGGGCTCCAGGGCTCCAGCGGGGGCACTCATTCTCCCCAGACTGAGAGCGGGTAATGTGTGCATCCAACTAACACCTGGGCACTCACCAAGCGCCAACCAGTCTAGGTGCTGGGGACACAGCAGTGAAGAAAACAAAGCTCCTGCCATTGTGACCTCTCAACAAGCAAGAACGTTACAATAATTTAGACGGTGATAAGGACCGCGGGGGAAAAAAAAAATAGGGCAAGAGGTTAGGGAGTGCCAGCAGAACTGCTATCAAATATGGGAGGGTCAGGTGACATTCACAATTATTTGTTGATTAATTAATTTAAGGCAGAGTCAGAGATAGAGACAGAGACCTCCCGTGTGCTGGTTCACTTCCCAGAGGTCACACCAGCCAGGCCGAAGCCAGGAGCCCAGAACTCCATGCAGGTCTCCCACGGGGGTGGCAGAGACCTGGGTACTTGAGCCATGCCCTGCTGCCTGCTAGCTTGTGCATCAGCCGGGAGCTGGGATGGAGCGCAGAGGCAGGACGCGAACCCAGGCACTCGGAGACAGGAGGCGGGCGGCACAGGTTGTGAACATCACAAGTGGCAGCCAAGCGCCCACCCCAGCCAGGGGACATTTAGCAGAGACCTGAAGGTAGACATCTGGGAGAAGATGTGCAAGGACAGAGGCACGAACATGCTGGACAGACTGGAAAGGGACCAGGAAGCCCAGCGTGGCCAGAGCAAAGGGAGACCCCCACCGGGGAGGGGGCAGGGCAGGGGAGTGGGCGGAGCAGGTGAGAAGGTGGCTTGTAGAGCCCTCACAGTGATGATTTTCCGTCACCGGGTGGCTTGGAGGAGAGCGGTGAGCAGGTGTAGCTGTCTTCAAGGAGTGAGAAGTGGCCTCTGGTCTGGTGGGCGCTGCAGGCTCTGCCCCTGCCATGAGCCACACCCTGCCCCACTCCCAACTGAGGGGCCTTGGCCTCTCCTAGCCTTACTCCTTTATCTAGGAAATCATTCCAAGGTTTTAGCCAGGTACAGCTCCCTCACTGCCACTGACCCAGCTGGGCCAAGCTTTTGTGTAGGTTCGGGGAGGGGAGGGGCCAGCCCAGAGGTTTGAGTGTTCCTGGTGGAATCTGCCATCTTATCTAGGAAGATCTCATTCGCTCCACCCCAGCCAGCCAGCAGGCGGGAACAGTCCAGATGCTGCAGCAAGCCCGGGGCAGTCACAGGGCCAGGATGGAGGCACCCTCCCTCCACCCCAGGAGACAGGCCAGTGCCTGCCCCCGGAGATGCACTCAGCTGCCCGGTTCCATCCCAGGGGAGGCCTTCGCAGCTCCTGCTCCACCAGGGCCGGCATTAGTGCCCTTGGGGCCCCCATCCCATGGAACGTCGTGGAACGTCACATGGATTAGTAGGATCCTGATTGGGTCTCACCCACTGCTCTACAAACGGCTGCACTTGGTGAGGGCTTTGCTATTTCCTTCCCTGCCATGTTCACAGTGCTCCCTCCTGGCATAGATGGGCGTCCCACAAATGAATGAATGAATGAATGAATGAGTGAGTGGGGAGCAAGGCAGGCACTGCTGTCGCCTTGCCTTTCACAGGCAATAAAACAGAAGCCCAAACAGGTCTGAGCTGCTCAGCAGCACAGCAGGCACTGCCTCCTGGCCTAATTCCTACAGTGGGAGCACCCGGCACCGGCCGCACGCAGGGCCGCCCCAGGCTCTCCTCTTGCAGACTCGGACCCTCGGCCCTGAAACACGACGAGCGTCGCAGAAAAGGATCAGAGGACGCGAGGGAGCAAGTGACAGCTTGTCAGTAACGCTCATGGCTCTGTTCCCTCGCGGCTCTCTCGGGCCGGTTCTGTCTGCACCCCCTCTGCAGACGAAGAAACAGAGGCACAGAGAGGCAGGGGCACACCTGAGAGGAGGCGCGGCTTGGCGGCGCTCGCACCCCCGCATGCCCTCGGCGTCATGGCCCAGAACACCAGTGTGGGCATCCGGAGGCGGGTGTGCGCCTCGAGCGCCCGTTGACCTAACTTCCAAATCTGTACATCGGGTCGTTAACAGCATCTAGCCTACAAGGCTATCGGGAGATTAATGTGCGCAGAGAGCTCAATACCGTGTCCAGCACATAGTAAGTGCTCAATAAATGTTAATTATTGATGTTCTCGTTAGTGTTCAGCGTGTTTCAGGGTCCAGGGCTTCAGGGCAACAGCTCTGCGCACGATACAGATGAGGTCACTCAGCGGGCCGGGGCCGCAGGGCCCCCGGCCGGTCCACACCCGGCCCAGAGCGGGCTGGACGAGTCTGGGGGCCGGAGGTCCCAGGCCCCGCCCCGCCAGACTTTAAGAAGGAGCACCGGGCGCACGCGCAGACAGAGCAGACGCGCGCTCCAGACGCCGGTCCCGGGCAGCGAGCGAGCCACGCGCCGTCCCCGCCGCGCACGCGCATGGAGGGGCGCGCGAGCCCCCCGAGCGCGCCGCGCACCCGCTCCGTGACGGCCGCGCTCTGCCGCGGCCCCGTGGAGCCGCTAGTGTTCCTGGCTAACTTTGCCTTGGTCCTGCAGGGCCCGCTCACCACGCAGTACCTATGGCACCGCTTCAGCGCCGACCTTGGCTACAATGGCACCCGCGACAGGGGGGGCTGCGGCAACCACAGCGCGAACCCGACGATGCAGGTACGCGATGGCCGGGAGGAGCGAGAGGCGGGCAGGGGGCGGGCCCGGAGCGCGCGCGCGCGCGAGCCTGCGGGGGCAGCCGAGGGGCGGGGCCCGCGGGAAGGTGGGGGGCGTCTGGGACTGTGCTAAGAAGGTGGGGAGCAGGGCCGGGGCGAAGTGGGCTTGAGAGGGGTAGAGCCTGGCTGGAGGGTTAACCGAAGGGGTAGGGGCTTGGGCCCTGGGTCCAGTTCGCACACCCCCTCCAGTGCCGTGGTCCTGAGAGGCCCTGAGTTGTAGGGCTCCAGAGAGCGGCCTCATCCCTCGAGCCCTCTTCTTGGCCGTGTGCCCAAGGGTGGGCAGTCAGGGAGTGACCACAGCCTCCCAATTTTGTCCCCACAGAGAGTGGAGACCCTTACCTCCCACTGGACCCTCTACATGAACCTGGGAGGCTTCCTGGTGGGGCTCTTCTCGTCCACCCTGCTGGGAGCCTGGAGTGACCGCGTGGGCCGCCGGCCCCTGCTGGTGTTGTCCTCGCTCGGCCTGCTGGCCCAGGTCGTGGTGTCCATCTTTGTGGTGCAGCTGGAGCTCCACGTCGGCTTCTTCGTGCTGGGCCGCATCCTGTGTGCCTTCCTGGGGGACTTCGGGGGCCTCCTGGCTGCCAGCTTTGCCTCCGTGGCAGATGTCAGCTCCAGGCGCAGCCGCACCTTCCGGATGGCCGTGCTGGAAGCCTGCATCGGTGTGGCGGGGATGCTGGCGAGCCTCCTTGGGGGCCACTGGCTGCGGGCCCAGGGTTATACCAACCCCTTCTGGCTGGCCTTGGCCTTGCTGATAGCCATGGCTCTCTACGCAGCGTTCTGCTTCGGTGAGACCCTGAAGGAGCCGGAGCCCGCCCGGCTCTTCACGCTCCGTCACCACCGATCCATTATCCAGCTGTACGCGGTGCCCTCCCCGCAGAAGTCCAGGAAGCAGTTAGCCCTGTACTCGCTGTCCATCTTCGTGGTGCTCGCTGTGCACTTTGGGGCTCAGGACATCCTGACCCTCTATGAGCTGAGCTCACCCCTCTGCTGGGACTCCAGGCTCATCGGCTACGGGTCTGCAGCCCAGCAGCTCCCCTACCTCACCAGCCTGCTGGGCCTGCGCCTCCTGCAGTGCTGCCTGACCGACAGCTGGGTGGCTGAGATCGGCCTGGCCTTCAACATCGTGGGGATGGTGGTCTTTGCGTTCGCCACCGTCACGCCCCTCATGTTCACAGGTAACGTGTGTGGGCCCACAGCTTGATCCAAAGGCACTGGGTGAAAATTGGGGGCCAGCCCCTCTCTGCCCCCAAATGTGGCTCATGCCGGTGTCATGGCCGCAACCTGCACTGGATTAATGTCATCTGTGATATATGGCCAGAATAGGCCTTCAGTAGCCAAAGTGATTAACCCACATTATCAACCGTAACTATTAGTAATACAGAGCAGAAGACAAAAGCATGGCTCACACACTAATTGCTTCACCCCTTGGCCTTCTACACCCGATTCACGGTGTTCTTAAACAAAGTCCACGTCATTAAATGCCTGTTACTGCTCTGATAAGAACCACAGGACCTCCCTCAGGTACCCTTGGCCACCTTTGGGATTTTTTTTTTAAAGATTTATTAATTTATTTGAGAGGCAGGGTTACAGAGAGAGGGAAAGACAGAGAGACAGGTCTTCTGTCTGCTGATTCACTTCCCAAATGGCTGCAATGGCCAGAGCTGGACCAATGTGAAGCCAGGAGCTTCTTCTGGGTCTCCCGTGTGGGTGCAGGGGCCCAAGCACTTGGGTCATCTCCCACTGCTTTCCCAGGCTATTAGTAGGGAGCTGGGTTGGAATTAGAGCAGCAAGACTTGAACCAGCACCCATATGGGATGCTGGCGCCACAGGTGGAGGCTTAGCCTATGCCACAGCGCCGGCCCCAGGATTTTTTTTTTTAAGATTTATTTATTTATTTATTATTTTGAAAGAGATCTCCCATCTGCTGGTTCACCCCTAGAAGCCACAATGTCCAGGGCTGAGCCAGGCTGAAGCCAGGAGCCAGGAACCAGGGGTTTCTTCATCTGAGTCTCCCACATGGGTGCAGGGGCCCAGATGCTTGGGCCATCTTCCGCTGCTTTTTCCCAGGCACATTAGCAGGGAGCTGGATCTGAAGCAGAGCAGCCGGGCTGTGGTGTCACAGGCTGCGGCTTTACCTGCTGTGCCATGATGCTGGCTCCATCTCTGGGATTTTTTTAAAAAAGCAGTCGTCTTCCTCTTTTTTTTTTTTTTTTTCCAACAATCTATTTGAAAGTCAGAGTTACACACAGAGAGAAGGAGAGGCAGAGAGAGAAAGAAAGGTCTTCCATCTGCTGGTTCACTTAGCCTGGAGCTTCCTCCCGGTCTCCCATGTGGGTGCAGGGGCCCAAGGACTTGGGCCACCTTCTACTGCTTTCCCAGGCCACAGCAGAGAGCTGGATCAGAAGTGGAGCAGCTGGGACTGGAACTGGCACCCATATGGGATGCTGGCACTGCAGGCAGCAGCTTTACGCACTACGCCACAGCGCCAGCCCAAGACAGTCTTCTTAGACCACGCACAGGAGATTCCTGCTTATTGAGTTCCTCTTCTCATCTGCCTTCTCCTTCCCCTCTCTGCTTCCTCCTTTTCTTTTTCTTTTTGGAATGGGCAAAGGGTAGCTGGCCAGACAATGAGGAAGTTAACTTTTTAGAAGGGACAGTTTGAGCCCTCAAATTTGTGTACCAAGTCAGCCATTCAGTACCACAGCTTTCAACCCGGCTGCTTGGAGTGTGCAGGCGCTGTCATTGTTCTGGGCGCTCTCGGTGTGCGTTCAGAGGGGGCACTGAGCTCACGGACTCTGCAGTGCTGAGGAGATAGCAGTCGCACGAGGGCGAGAAACGGTCCTGGGGTACATGGTGGGTGTCAGCCTGGACATGACCGGCTGTGGAAGGAACTCTTGGGTCCTCGCCGAGCCGCACCCCTCCTCGCTGGCACTTGTCTCCTGCAGGGGCTGTATGAGGCCACACACACTGGTGTGAGCAACAGAAATTCACTCTCATGGTGCCAGAAGCCAGAAGTCCAAATCAAGATATGGGCATCCCTTTCTCCAACCCCGTTTTCCTGACGAGCTCTTATTTCTCCCCAGGGTACGGGCTGCTCTTCCTGTCACTGGTCATCACACCCATCATCCGGGCCAAGCTGTCCAGGCTGGTGAGCGAGTCGGAGCAGGGTGAGTGTCAGGTTCCTCAGGTCCAGGGTAGCCTGGACCAGGCAGACAGGCCCCTGTGGCTGGTGGGCAGCTCGCCCTCCTCCCTCCTCCCCTGGAGAAGTAAATGGCCGAGACAGACGGACTTGTGTCCAGTTGCCCGGGGCTGGTGGAGGTCTACGCCACCTTGGGTTTTCACATCAGAGTTGGAACTTGCATTCAGCAGAGCACAGGATAACTAGGGCACTTACTCTGTCCAGACCTCAGCTCTCCCATATGTAAAATGGGCACAATGATGCCACGTTTCCTGCTTCATGGGGTCAGAGTATGTAAGCCCAGAGGAAGCAAAGGACCTTGTGACAGAGGCTTCATTGTTTCCAAGTGACAGATGCAGAAACAGGCCTGGAGGGTGAAGTGATTCGCCCAAGGTGAATGGTGGAGCCAGGGTGCACTCCAAGGGCGGTTGTTAAGGCCAGGGGTCTCAGCTCTGGGGTTCAGTCCTGGCTCTGTCGCCGACTTCGGTTTCCTCGTTGTGACGCGAGTGGTTTGCTCACGAAGACACCTGCAGGTCCTTCTCACAGAGTTCCGGCCCAGCTTCTTTTGGGTCAGCGCTCACTTTGCCATCTGTGGGTTCTGCTGGCATGTCTACAAGGAACAGCTGCTCAGGCTTCGGGGCCTGTATAGCCCGTCTGGAAACAGCCGGCTCATTCAGTTTTCCCCATCTGCCCTGGAAGGAGGACCTGCTGGTGCCAGGCACAGCCCACCCTGGGCTCTGGTGCCCCCAGAACCCATGTGCCTTCATCCACTCACTCAGTTAACCCTTTTGCAGCACCTGTGCTGTGTCCAGAGCTGCCAGGCAAACGGGAGGAAAGAACCGCTCTCACCAACAGCTGCCTCTGGGGCCAGGCCCCGGTGGGTGCACTGCGTGTGAACCTCGTGTCGCTGCCAGTCTGTGAGATGGATTCTGTCCTTATTTGTCAGAGCAGGAACACAGCCCAGAAGGCCAAGTGTTCAGTGATCGCACAGCTGTTAAGTGTTGGACCTGGGACTCAAACCAGTGGTTAATCCCAGGCAGGAGAGGGCGCCGAACAGGATAAACCAAAGCAAGGGAGTTCATCAGGCTTGTGTTAGACGAGATCACACATGCTTTTAATGTGTATTTAATAACAACCAAGTATTTGGCAGCCCTTCTGGGCCAGGTGCCTCCCATGAGTGGCCTTATGGAATCCCAACACATGATGTGGTAGTATTTACAGGGGAGGAAGGAGAAGTGACTGCCCCGGTCACACAGCCCCGAGGCCGTGGTACTGGGGTGGACAGCTGGGCCTTTCAGACCCCGGAGTGCGGTGTTCGTTTCTTCACAGGTGCTCTCTTCTCTGCTGTGGCCTGTGTGAACAACCTGGCCATGCTCACGGCCTCCGGCATCTTCAACTCTCTCTACCCCGCCACGCTGAACTTCATGAAGGGCTTCCCCTTCCTCCTGGGAGCTGGCCTCCTCCTCATCCCGGCCACTCTGATTGGGTACGGCAGGGCCCTGACCAGTGAGCGCTCCTGGGGAACCCCTTATCCTCAGAGACCCCCTGCATCCTTGAAGAGGCAGCTTCACTCCCAGAACCCGTGCCCTGGTGGTATCTCATCCCAGGCTGATGCGTCCCTTGCACATAGCTGTGTAATGCCTCGGGGGCCAAGGCCCAAGGCCGAGGCAGAGGGCAGGATGGATCATGCTGACCACAAGGCCGTGTTCCCTCCTCCTGTCTGCGTCATCCCTCTCTGTTCCCATTTTACAGCAGGGCCTGTGGTGGTAGAACCGGGCTAAAGGGAAGCCAGAAAGCTCCCTCTGCTGGTTGTGGCTGGGCTGGCCCGCTGACTTGTTCCCCTGTCATCTTAAGAGTTCCTTCTCGGAGTTCCCTGTGTCTGGGGTCTGGGACTGTCCTCCACCTCACCGCTTGGGGGGTGGGGGGAGCCGCCTGAACCAGCCCACCCAAGTAAGGCCCCTGTCTCTTCTCCAGACAAGAGTTGAGGGGCCCCCTTGTCAAATCTCAACCCCTCTCTGGTCTCTTATAGGATACTGGAAAAGGCTAGTTCTCGCCTTGAATTCCAGCAGTTTCCCCAGAGCCCCGAACTACCCGGACCAGAAGACAAGAGGGCAAGGGGGCCAGAGTGAACCTGAAGCAGTGGAAGTCTGCCTCCAGGAGCCCAGCAGCGCTGGCGCTCCCTTCAAAGGACGGTGCTGCCCCTGGACGAGGTGCTCAAGTACCACCTGTCCACGGCTAAGCCAGCCTCTGATTAGCATCTGGACCGGCCACTCCCACAGGGGACAGCATAAGGTGACCCCTCCGGGGAGCAGAGAGCTCCTGCTGGAGGTGACACTTCAGGGACCTGGTGAAGCTTGAGGTTGCCATCTCTCCTCCTAGCAGACCGTACAGCCCTCAGTCCCAGGTCCCTCGTGTGCCCAGCAGCCACCTGTCACTCCTTAGTGAAGGGTGCAGAGCCTGGCCAGTGGCAGCCCTGGGGAGAGGACGGCTGTGGGAGGGATCTGGTGCCCCTTGGAGGAGAGCGCTGCTGTCGCTTGGCTGGGAACCAACCCTAGGCTATGCCTGCCCAACCCTGGCTTAACAGCGCCATTTGTCACAATAAATCATTTGGCTCAGACGTTCCAGCCCCCAGGGCAGTGGGCTTGTTTTCTTGCTCCTGATCTGCCTGGCGTAGGTCAGACAACAGAAGCTGCTGGGCTGGGCAGGAGCCCCTGAGCTGCCCTTGGGATTGCTACTGGGTATGGACAGCCTGGGCCTCGTCTGCAGGAGGGGAAGGCCCCGCTGCCTGCTGCCGAGAGCCAGTGAGAGCCTTCCTTGACTCACCTGTGCCAGGCTTCCCCCCACCCCAGCCCAGGCAGGAGCACCTGCAGCGCCTCCCACTCCTGGCATTTCAGCAGAGCTGTGCTGAGGCCATCCCTCGGGCCTCCGTTCAGCAGAGCCTGGGAGCTGGCCCTGATTCTCCTCATGATGCAGGGGCCCAGCTTCCTGGAGGATGGAGCGCCCATTTCTAGGCAGTTCGGAAGGTCTCCACCTGAAGCTGAAAGGCAGTACTTAACTGAACGTGAGCCCGCGGCCACTTCTACCCTCTCTCTCTCACCTGCCCCACCAGCCAGCTTTCCAGCTGGAAATCATGCAGCCCAGAGCCAGCCAGGGCCAGCTGGGTCTCTGTAGCCCAGGCCCATTTCCAGCCTCCTGCCCCCTCCCAACCATAAATGGGAGACCTAAGTGACCACTGGGATTCTGTGAAGAGGGGGGCGGTGTGAGCTGGCCTCGTGCTCTGGCTGGGAGACCTTGGGCAGGCCCCTGTAGGAAGGGCCAGATCAGCGGGACCATGGCGACCACTCCTGCACAAGAAACCCGATTAGTGATGCTCCGAGACATGTCCTGGAGGGAGAATGAACTGCGACTGGACTTTTGGACTTTGAGTGTTCCTGGGCAGTTCTTGGCCCCTGCGGAGAGGTGGGGAAGGGACCTAGCTGACTCAGCCCCAGCCCAGGGCCAGCAGCTATAGCCCAGCCAAGCAGAAAATCCTGGCTTTGTAGACCTGTGTCAGCGGGCCTTGGGGGACAGGCTGCTGCTGAGCCCTGAGTCTCAGGGTCAGCCGCGGGGGGTCAGGTGCATGCCCTGCCTGTGACCTGAGCAGTGTTTGTCACAGCAGGGGTGGGGGTGGCGGGGCAGTCATCCTGAACAGTATTGGCGTGGCTGCGGGAGGCCCAGTACTTGGGCTGCTCTGGGTGGGGGCTGAGTGCTAATTGCCAGAGACAGAGGCAGCACAGCAGTGTACCCTACAGAGAAACCAGGAAACCTGAATCCTGCCGGGGAAGGCCTCAGGAGGAAGAGACTGGGACAAAAAGACAGCTTCCCCTGGCTCACTCGCTGTACTATTGACTGCCCAGTGAGGGCAACGTCCAGGGCTGAGCCCCAAGCTGGCACGAGGACGCTCGTGCTGCGCAAGGAAGGAGGTCAAGTGTAGTCCCAGCCAGAGTCAGGGCTGGGACCGGCTCAGCTGTACCTGACGGGCAGGGAGTGGAAGGAAGGAGCCTTGAGCCTGGACCTTTGACTTTTTGATGCTGTGGCCCGAGAGCCAGGCATGACCTGGGCAGCTGAGCTGGCCCAGGAGGGGAGAGGCGGGGCAGGCTCCGGCCAGCTGCACGGTGCACCAGCAGGGGTGACTGCAGGGGCTGCTCTCTCGTCCTTCCGTCTCAGTGGAGGGGAGACCCGAGGCCCCTGCGCCAGCCCTGTGTGTCTAAAGGCAGCCCCCATCGCTCGACTTTCTGGGCCAGGGGGAAGCAGCGGCTCTGCATGGGACGCAGCCTCTGGGATGATTCTCAGGAGGGCAGACCCTCTGCCAGTGGCCTGGGTACCAAGAGACTTGGTTCTGGAACCTGGGGCTGCCTACTAATGACAGAACACTCAACCTTTCTGAACCCCGATTTCCTTACCCGTGGAGTGGGGGTCTAATAGCAGATGGGGTTGGTGGGATGAAAATAGAGACGATCGAGTGGGGTGTTTGGGAAATAGCCAGGTGTGGGGGCTGTTCATGTTTTAGAGGCTTGCTGCGACCACCAGTGTCAGTCCACCTGGGAATCTGTGAGAAATGCAGAATCTCAGGCCCCATCTGAGTCTCCTGAGTGAATTTTAATAAAGATTCCCAGGCTGTTGGAATGCACGTTCAAGGTGGAGAAATGGCCCTAGGTGACAATCCTAGGTTCTATCAGGCTACAGGGATTGCCATACTGGGACTGCCTGGTCCCCTTCCCCACTGAGCAAGTGGTGGGCAGCCCTAGGTGGGTGAGGGTCTGGGGAAGCCAGCTGGGCCAAGCCAGGCAGGAACCAGAGGCACAGCACCAAAACATGGGATAGGTGGGCTTTGAGATATGGCTTCCCCTGCCCAGACACAGGCCCAAGCAGGAGGCTCCTGGGCACCAGCGAGTGCAGCAAAGCCAGGTGCAGCTGCAGGTCAGCCAGAGTGAGGACCAACCTTGAGTCATGTGGCAGAGGAAGCTGACCCAGTGGAAGACTGGGAGGAGGTCTGGGACCTCGCCAGGCTGAGAGGGGCCTCGAGTGGTTAGGATGCAAGGCCACAGACTGGTAGGAAGCAGGGAGCCCAGGGGCCAGGCACAGTCTGGGTGGAGAACCACTGCTGGCCTCCCATCTCTGTCTCCTTGCCCAGGACCTTGCGAGATGTGCACCTTTGACACGGATAGGCAGGTAGCCACAGGAGCCGAGGACTGCCTACACTCCCAGGCCAAGGCCCGTCTCTCGGTACTGACTCAACATGGCTGAAGGCTCGGCCTACCCACTCATGCAGCCAAGCCTCAGTTCCATCACACAGCAGGTGCCACGCGCCACGTGTGCTGCAGTCCCGCCCCAAACCCTGCCTCCTTGGAGCACTCCATCAGGCCCTGCTCCAGCACCACCCCACCTATAAAAAGGACGACCCCAGCCCGAATGGGGGCAGTTCTCCCTCCTGGGGTTGGCCGCCCTCACGTCTGTGTCCCTTTGCCTTTCAGTAAGTCCTGCTTTCCTGTGTCACACACACAGGAAGACAAGCACCTGGACTTGGGGTCCCTATAAACCCTTCCCCCTACTCAAGCTGCCTGCTGTCAGGGCAGGAGGAGGGAGACTGCGGTAGCCCCCGCCCCACCTCCTGTATCTCCAGAACTGGGCTGGGACCATCCCCATGCCAAGACAGAGGACCTCATGGCCAGGCCTGGGGGAGGTGGGAGGCCCCACACCAGTGCCTGGCTCCCTCCCCCCAACATTGAGCCAGGTGGGATTGAGCTGGGCCATGTGGACAGGGACAGGGACAGCCATTACCTGAGCAGAGCTCAGGCTGTCCGAGCCCAGGTGGCCCGTTTGAGGTGGGGACAATGGCAGTGCCAGTCACAGCGGGGCTGGGGACCTGGGGCCGGGTTAGGCCGGGCCCATCGGTGCAGCACCGTCGAGACTGGTGTCGGAGCCTGCGGATGAGTCTCTGGAGGAGCGGCCCTGCAGGAAGCGGATGATCTTCTCGATGGTGGCCTCCTGGTACTCGTGGGACCACCTGTGAGCACAGAGGCCACCTGGGTCAGAGGCCTAGGCAGGGGCAGTTGCTGGCCAGAGGCCTTTCTGGTTTGCTGCCCTTCAGGGCAACTTGTCCCCACCCCCTCGCTCGCGACCCGCCTGGGGCTCACTTGATGCCGTTGAAGGTGAGCACAGCCTGCATGTCCTCCGGCAGGGCCTGGGGCTCAGGCCACTCGAAGCCATCGATGACCGGCACGATGTTCTTCCCGCAGCTCAGAGCAGTCACAATCTCCTGGAGCGAGAGGGGAAAGAAGGAGGAGACCCTTGTCCCTACCCAGGGACACCGGGGCCAGGCAGCTGCTGGGAAGCCCACGGGTCCTGAAGTCCACGCTGACTTTTCCCCCATTTATTCTAGCTTAATAAAACATACATAAATATTGGGCCTTTGTCCCAGATTCCTGGCACAGAGCTCCCCAAGTCCCTGGAATCTCGAGTGATGAGTGTCCTGCTAAAGTGACTCCTCGCTGGGGTGGCTGGGTGGATGGGGTTGGTGGGCTTTCTGGTGGCCAAAGCCTCATGGCAGGGTTGGGGTTTTGAGCCCCACTCCATGGCCTCTGGAGAGGGGCTGGAGGTTAAGTTGGAGCAGCAATGGCGGTGGTTTGATCCACTGTGTGTGTGTCATGAAGCTGGCGTAAAAACCCCTGGACGATGGAGTCCGAAGAGCTTCCAGGCTGGTGCACACATTCGGGTGCCAGAAAGGTGGCGCCTTGGGATGAAGTGCGGCAGCTCCACGTCCCTCCTTTCCACGTGGCCTTCGCATCTCTTCCGTGTGGCTCTATATTACGTCACTCATAGTAAAGTGCTTTCCTGAGTTGTGTGAAACAGAAGCAGTAGCAAAACGGAATCACTAATATCAAACCCCAAGAAAATGGTCAGGAAGGTGGTGCCCACAGGCATGTGTGCCAAAGGCAGTAACCATCCCAGGGACTGTGCAAGCTGGAGCATTCCAGAGAAGCCGTTTGCCCAAGGACGTTCAAAGTGACTGTTTCCACCAATGAGCTAGCGCCAGCTCCTGCAACAAGTCCCCATAACCAGTGGTCTTTGTGCTAAAACAGCTTGTGTGGACTTTGCCCTGTTTGTTGTGTAAGCTTCCTCTCACACCAGGTGCTTTGGATGTGCCTCTGGTCAAAAACAGCACACGGATCCCGAGTATTTATTTCTGAGTAAACTTGGTTTTGGAGAGTAGGTCTGTCACTCGATTTAGGATGACAGTTCCTTTTTTTTTGGACAGAGTGGATAGTGTGAGAGAGAGAGAGAGAGAGAGAGAGAGAGAGAGAGAGAAAGGTCTTCCTCTTCCATTGGTTCACCCCACAATGGCCGCTGTGGCCAGTGCACCGCGCCGATCCAAAGCCAGGAACCAGGTGCTTCTCCTGGTCTCCCATGGGGTGCAGGGCCCAATGACTTGGGCCATCCTCCACTGCATTCCCGGGCCACAGCAGAGAGCTGGCCTGGAAGAGGGGCAACCGGGACAGAAACCTGGACTAGAACCCGGTGTGCCAGTGCCACAGGTGGAGGATTAGCCTATTGAGCCGTGGCGCCGGCCCTATTTCTTTCTAAGATTTATTTATTTTTTAAAAGAATTATTTGAAAGGCAGAGTGTGCCACCAAATGGCTGCGACAGCTAGGGCGGAGCCGGGCTGAAGCCAAGAGTCCTGCACTGCAGCACTGAGTGGGATTGTAGGACACCCAGGCGGTGCTGGGGAGCATTAGTTGCTGGTGTGGGAAAAACCCGCATCCCTGCCTCCCGACTGCTCCCCGGGAGCCTTGCCAACTGCACTCCTCACTTCACGTTACCACCTCCCAGGCCTCTCCTCACTGACTCTTGCCCCCTCCCACTTGCCCTCCACCTAACTTACCTTTGCAAAATGCAAGTCTGATCATGTCACCTCCTACTCAAAACTCAAGACGTTGTGTGGCTCTCGGAACAAAGTCCAAACTCCTGAAAGTGGGCTCCAAGCCCCTATGTGGTGGGCCACAGCTCGCTTCTCAAGCTCCACCCCTGCGCTGCCCTCCCAGCCAGCCTGCCTCTGCCATCCTCCTGTCTGCACTGGGCCTTTGCACATGCTCTTTCCTCTGCCTAGAAATCATTCCTGTGCCTCTTCACGTACACCCATTCATTTTTCTGATCTGAGCCCTGCTCTTTGCTGGGGAAATTGTCCCCTCCCCCCTCCCAGGTTTCCCCACTCCAGGCTCTTATGGGCTCTGTAGAACATGATGAAGTTAAAGATCTGAATTTTCTTAATCCTGCCAGGCACAAGTCTGCTCCTCACCTGAAGGAAGCGGCTTGGAGCAGCAGGTAGGGGCTGCATCCTAAAATGCTGTCGCTGACACAGACTCTGACCTGAGGCAACAGCAGTGGCTCTGAAAATTGGTTTCCTGATACACAAAACAGGGTTGGGGCTGGCATGGTGGCGGAACAGGTTAGGCTGTGGCCTGCAGTGTGAGCATCCCATATGGGTGCCTGTTTGAGTCCCGGCTGCCCCACTTCCCATTCCAGCTCCCTGCTAATGGCCTGGGAAAGCAGTGGAAGATGCTCAAGGGCTTGGGCCCCTGCACCCACGTGGGAGAACTAAGAGAACCTCCTCATTCCTGGCTTTGGCCTGGCCCAGCCCTGGCCACTGCAGCTATCTGGGGAGTGAACTAGCGGATAGACATTCTCTCTCTAACTCTGCCTTTCAATAAATAAATTAAAAAAAAAGAAAAAAGAACTCCAGGGTTAATGACAAGGCCCATCTTGTAAGAATGCTGTGTGGGGTAACTGACACCCCAGGGCAGATGACTAGGCCAGCACCGGCTTGTCTGCAGGGCTCCTGATGGCTCATGGGAGATGCAGTGAACACATCTTTTCCGTGAACATTTCTGAAACCCCTTCGGTGTCTGCTCACTAAGAATGGGTGCTGTTCAGGCCGGCACTGCGGCTCACTAGGCTAATCCTCCGCCTTGTGGCGCCGGCACACCGGGTTCTAGTCCCGGTCGGGGTGCCGGATTCTGTCCCGGTTGCCCCTCTTCCAGGCCAGCTCTCTGCTGTGGCCAGGGAGTGCAGTGGAGGATGGCCCAAGTCCTTGGGCCCTGCACCCCATGGGAGACCAGGATAAGTACCTGGCTCCTGCCTTCGGATCAGCGCGGTGCGCCGGCTGCAGCGCGCAGGCTGCAGCGGCCATTGGAGGGTGAACCAACGGCAAAGGAAGACCTTTCTCTCTGTCTCTCTCTCTCTCTCTGTCCACTCTGCCTGTAAAAAAAAAAAAAAAAAAAAAAAAAGAATGGGTGCTGTTTGCTGCTCCTCTGTGCGTGAGGTGGTTTGGAGGCTGCCGTGAATGGTTAATGGTGCCTGGTAAGTGCTTATTGATGTTTTTAGCTTTTCCTTTCAAAGGGGGCTGCAGGGACTGGAGTTTTTGGAGTGCGGCTCACTTGTGGTTTTCCATATTGATCACCCACTAAATGTGGCTTCTGGGAAAGGGAGGATTAACTCTCGAGGCAATCAAGCACTGAAATCGACCAGGAGGGATGATGGGGCTTCTGGGACGGGTCCAAGGCGAGGGCTCTGCCACCACCCCTTCTGCGTCCTCTCCCTGCCGTCTGCTGGGACAGCAGTGGGTGCCAAGCCCCCTCGTGGAGCGCAGCCTTCCTGCCTGACTTTGACCCTGCCTGGCTTTGTCAGGAGCCTTTACCGATAAAGAGGCCCAGAGAGGAAGAGACTTCCTCCCACGTCACACATCTGCCCAGCACGGACGTGGCCGAACCTCCAACTCAAGGCTTCGGAGTTCAAGTCCAAACCCTTTTGGCTCTGTGCTGAGCGTGTGGATGAATTCTGACCCTGAAGCAATTTACTTGGGAACATTTAGACATTTGTTTCGTCTAGAATAACACAGAACAATGGCAATACAGACTGCCCATTGCACAGATCCAGAGGCTGGCCAAGGAAGGGATGATGGCTCACTCAAGACCTCTCAGCTGGGCACTGAGCTGGGTGACAACAACAATGAATTGTACCTTTCAAAGCAGCCGGTAGATAGGATTTTGAATGTTCCCAACACAAAAACGAGAAAAATCTGAAATCACAGATATGGCAATTGCCATGATCTGATGTTTATGTACTGTTTACAAGTATTGAAATGTCACGATGTGTCAATTTAAATAAAGACATACATTAAAAAAAATTACTGGGGCCATGGGAAGCCGCCACCTGCAACCCCAGAATCCCATATTGGAGCACTGGTTTGAGTCATAGCTGCTCTCTTTCTGATCCAGTTTCCTACTAATGTGCTCGGAAAGGAGCCGAAGATGGCCCAAGTGGGCCATAACCCACCATGGTGGGCATAGTTTTGTCTCCTCAGCTGCTTGAGGACAAGAGCCCACCTCAGATGACTGCTGCATCTCTACTCCAACCCCAAATCCTGCTGATGAATAATTAGTATCCTTAGGCTGTGATAGGATCCAGCCGTCCATCTATTCTGGAAAGATTCAGTAGGTCCCTGGCATTGTGGCACAGCGGTTAAGCTACCTACCACCTGTGATGCCAGCATTACGTAACGCAGCACCAGTTTGAGTCCTGGCTGATCCACTTCTAATCCAGCTCCCTGCTAATGACCTGTGAAAGCAGCAGGAGATAGCCCAAGTGCTTGGGCCCCTGCCATGCACGTGGGAGATCTGGAAGAAGCTCTGGGCTCCTAACTTTGGCCTGGCCCAGCCCTAGCTGTTGCGGCCCTTTGGAGAGTGAACCAGGGGATGGAAGAGCTTGGGCTCTCATTCCCTCTCTCTCTCTCTCTCTCTGCCTGTCAAATAAATAAATCTTAAAAACCCCAGTGGATGTCTGAAACTGCAGACCATACTGAATTCTGTATGTATTATGCTTTTTCCTAAAACACCCACTTAATGTGAAGCTCGCTTTACAAATGAGGTAAAATAAGGTAACAACAGCTAATGACAGAATGGAACAATTATAACAACATACTGTGATAAAAGCTATTTAAAACTTATGAATTGTTTATTTCCAGAATTTTCCATTTAATGTTTTTGAACCTTAAATGACCACAGGTAACAAACTGTGGAAAGCAGAGCTGTGGCTAGCAGGGGACTCCTGTAGTCATAATAATTATGCTAATAACAATCACTACCATTATTGCACCGGCATTTAGCAAAACATTTCACAAAGTGTAGCTCCTCTAATCCCTGTTACACTGTCCTGAGAGGGTACCATTAACATAAGCCCTGCTTTCTGGGAATTAAGCAAGTTACCCAAGGCCAGAGCCAGGATTCAAACTCACAGTTCTGTGTTTTCAGATCAGAATCGCCTCAGTAATCAACGGCCCGGGACAAGTGCAGCCCCGTCTACCTGATCAGTTTATCACTTCTGAGGGCGAGGCCCTGTTGGTCTAGCTCTGGGACTCTGGGACCCCGGCGTTGCTGCTGCCCAAGGGCCTTGCTGCACAGCCCCCAAAGACAGGGCTTAACAGAAGGGACCTGGTGAGGTGGGGTCACGACCCCATCAAATAAGATCAAGGTGTGTGGAGGGGCGGGGGTGTGGGCATGGTGGGGTAGGGGTGGGCGTACTCACTCCTCTTGTATGTAAGATGCATGTGCGTGAACATACACTCACACACATTCGGGCATCCACTCACGCCTCGGCCCACCCACGCCTCCCATGCGACACCTATGCACAGCACACACAACTCTCCCCCAAGGCCACTCTCCCTCCCGTGCCTAGTTCTGTGCTCTTAACAGTGGCTCCATTCTGCCCTTCACAGAGCTCTCCTGTACCTCACAGGGGTTATTTTTCATCCCTCTCTGGCCCTAGCAACAATCTTACCAGGTGAACAGGGCAGGTGAGTTATCTCCATTTTATAGACACAGGAGCTGAGACTCAAATGAGAGCCCAGGTTGCTGGCTAAAATCATATTAAAGTCAGAGCTATGGCACCTGAGTTTCAGGGGGCCAGAGAGGTACTCTGGGGGCTGAGTGTGCTGGGGTACGCAGACAGGAAGGAACCGGAGGAGGACCCCATCCTTGGGCCACGGGCCAGTGCTGGGGCTGCAGAGGCCCAGGCTGGTACCCACCTTGTGCACCCAGTCCTTGCAGTCATGGTCCTGCATGCACTTGTCCAGGGCCCCGGCCGACAGCACCAGCACGAAGTTGCGGGCTCCCATGACGCTCTGGATGAGTTTGTCCTCAAACTTGCCTGCTTCCAGCTTCTCCACGTCGATGAACACGCTGAAGCCGTGCAACTGCAGGTGCACCTTCAGGAGGCTGTCGAGAGGTCCTGCATCACTGCCGCGGCCTCGCCCACACAGCCCCGGGCCGCCTGCCCACCCCTCTTTACCTGGCCAGCTGGGAACCTGAGCTCCTGCGGTAGCTGATGAAGACATCGGGTGTGTCCCCGCTGGGCTTGCAGCCGGTACAGGGCAGCGGGGAGTGCAGCATTTCTAAGGCAGGTGAGAGGCAGCATGGTGAGGGGAGCCCCTTCCCATCACCCACCACGAGGTCCATGAGCCCCTGGGGTCTTAGTCCCCTGTCTCCTGTCCATCCAGCCCTCCTGCTCCATAAAGGGTCACCGAGGCAGAGGGATGGGGCCCACAGCAAGCGAGGCCATCCCAGAGGCAGGCACTGTGTTTCATGGGCACTGGTGGGCAGCCTCCTGCACCTCGGGAACTCCAGTTGGCACTGCCAGCCACCCAGAGGCGTGCCAGACTCATCAGCTCCCCAGTGCTCCCCTGACCCCTTCCTCCCAGCTTCCACCAGAAACCTAGTGTCAGCTGCAACCCCTGCCTCTCATTTATTTATTTATTTATTTATTTTGACAGGCAGAGTTAGACAGTGAGACAGAGAGACAGAGAGAAAGGTCTTCCTTCCATTGGTTCACCCCCCCAAAATGGCCGATCCGAAGCCAGGAGCCAGGTGCTTCTCCTGGTCTCCCATGGGGTGCAGGGCCCAAGCACTTGGGCCATCCTCCACTGCACTCCCTGGCCACAGCAGAGAGCTGGCCTGGAAGAGGGGCAACCGGGACAGAATCCGGTGCCCCGACCAGGACTAGAACCCGGGGTACCGGTGCCGCAGGCAGAGGATTAGCCTAGTGAGCCGTGGTGCTAGCCTCTCTCATTCATTTATTCAGAAAAAAAGATGCTCCTTGACTTGGGCTGGGGTCGCGTCCTGGGGGACCCATTGTCGCTGGGAAGCATCGTAAGCTGAAAGTGTGCGTTACACACCTCAGCTACTCAACAGTGTAGCTTAGTCTTACCTATCTTAACCATGCTCGGACGCTTACGTCAGCCTACAGTTGTGCAAAGCCTATTTTATAGAAGTGTTGAGTAAATGTCTCATGTAACTTACTGAAAACAGCACCAAAAGTGAAGAAGAAAATGGTTAACACGGGTGTGTTTCCACACCATTGTGAAGTCAAAAAACTGACAGTCAAACCGTTAGAAGTCGGGGACTGTCTGCATGTAGTAAGCACTAACTGTGTGCCGGGCACTGCCCTTGTGGAGCTGGCTCTGAGCCACACAGCACCCTCTGTGGGCTCCCCCTTCTCAGCTCTCCAGCCCTGGGGGTCCTCCCCATGTCCCAGCCCCCGGCAAGCCTTCTCCCCACATCCGGGTGCCACTGCCCAATCTAATCCACATGCTGCAGCTGCCCGGGCATCTTTCTGAAATCCAAGTCCAATGATGGCACTGCCCGCCTTGTGGCTTACTGCTCCCTACAGGAGCTGTTTTGTATGTGTTATTTCTGTCCTATGACCCTCCTGTTTTATGAAAATGAGTGTTTTCAGGAGCTGCAACGGAAAAGTGGTAAAAACTGACTTGTTGTGGTTGAAACAAAGGAACAGGACCACAGCCCAGTCCCTGTGCTGTGGGAGTGCTTAGCATGTGTTTGCTGAGTGAATGGATAAAATGAAAAGAATGATTTCCTTATAACATTCACACTTAACACCCATAGACAATATTTGTCTGTTTATGAAGCAGAAAGGCTGGGGCTCAAATCCCAGTTCTGTCGTCTAATGGCTTTTAAAACCTTGGGAAATGTATTTAAATTCTTTAAACCTTAGTTTCACTATCTTTAAAATTAACACCCAAGGGACCAGGGTTCTGGCGCAGTGGGTTAAGCTGGTGCCTGCGATGCCAGCATCCCATATCGGAGTACTGGTTGGAGTCCTGGCTGCTCTGCTTCTGATCCAGCTCCCTGCTAATGTGCCTAGGAAAGCAGCACTTGGACCCCTGCCAGCCATGTGGGAGACCCAGATGGAGTCCCAAACTCCCGGCTTCGGCCTGCCCAGCAGTGGCTAGTGAGGCTGTTTGGGGAGCGAGCCAGTGGATGAAAGATATCGTGTGTGTGTGTGTGTGTGTGTGTGTATGTGTGTCTGTAACTCTGCCTTTCAAATAAATAAGTCTTAAAAAGATTAACACCCAATTCGGACATGTTTTAAGCTTTGATCATAATGGAGTTTATACAGGGTATCCATTTCCCAAATCTCCTCAAACTGGACATTTTTAAGTGCTTGTTTTTTATCTTTAAAATGTTTCTAAAGTGTGTGTGTGTTTTTTTTAAAGAGTATTTATTTGAAAGGCAAAGTTAGAGAGAGAGAGAAAGAGAGGGAAAGAGAGAGGAGATACAGAGAGAAAGTTTACATCTGCTGGTTCACTCCCCAGATGGCTGCAATGACCAGGGCTGGGTCAGGCCAAAGCCAGGAGCCAGGAGCTTCCTCTGGGTCTCCCGTGTGGGGGCAGAGGCCCAAGCACTTGGGCCATCTTCTACTGCTTTCCCAGGCCATTAGCAGGGAGCTGGATTGGAAGAGGAGCAGCCAGAACTCGAACTGGCACCCACGTGGAATGCTGGCACTGTAGGCTGTGGTTTAATCCACTGTACCACAGCCCTGGCCCTTCTAAAGTTAACTTTTCAAAAATTAAGGGACAGCTATTTTGCAAAGCAGTTAAGATTTTGCTTGAGATAGCCAATCCCATATCAGAGTTCCTGGATTCAAGTCTCAGTTTCACTCCCGATTACAGCTTCCTGCTAATGCACACCCTGGCAGCAGGGGTTGGCTCAAGTAGTTAGGCCCCTGCTACTCACGTGGGAGACCTGGATTGAGTTTCTGGCTCCTGCTTTCAGCCTGGTCCAGCCCCAGCTGTTGGGGGCATGTGGGGATGGAACCAGTGGATGGGAGGTCTCTTTCTGTCTGTCTGTGTCTGTTACTGTCTCTCTGCCTTTCAAAATAAATCAATAAATACAAATATAAAGAAAATTAACACTGCATAGGATGGATGTAAGATTAATAAGATGCTGTCTTAAACAATACAATACCTGGTATATGTTGACAACAATAAATATCAGCTAAATTCTAAACTAGGAAAGGATACCACGTCAGTAAAGTTGGAGGCTGCTGCAGCCCTTCCAGACTCACTCTGGATAGGCCCCTGGGTTCCCACCCACACTCCAGGTGTGCACCCCTGCTACCTCCACAGTTGCATGTGCTACCTCCTGCCACTCTCCCACATCTTCAAGGCCTGGGCAGGCAGTCTAGACCTGGGTGCACAGGGTAGGCAGTGCTCCTACTGGGCCCCCTGGAGTCCTGGGCGAGCTTCCTGCTAGGGCCACCTCCCGCCTCCCCCCTCCACCAGACTGGGAGCTTCCTGAGGGCAGAGCTCAACATACTCATCTTCACAAGGTCAGAATCCAGTCTTCCAAATGTTAGTGGAAAATAAGTGGTATGAAAAACCGATGCATGGATTTGAAAGTGATTTTTCATCAAAGTAAACTAACTCCATTTTTTCCATGAACCTCTGGAAGTACCCTGGAATGTGCTCCATCCATCTCCACCCCTCTGGGGCTGGGGCTTTAGAGAGGTCCCGGGGAGCCCCGGGGCGCGCAGCCTGACCTCTGGCGGCGGTGAGAATGCGCGTGCGGTGCACTCCCAGGCGGATGCCACAGTCGTCCAGCAGCTGCTGCTCGGACACGCGGTGCAGCAGCGAGCGGTCCAGGCCGCAGCTGACCAGGCCGTAGGTGTACTGGCGGAAGCGCGGGTCCAGGCTGCCCAGCCAGTCGGCCAGGTTGCTGCGGTCACATGTGGCGTAGTTGGCGAAGGTCTTGAGCTCCGTGAGCTCCCGGAAGAACCTGCACCCCAGGGAGGAGAAGACACGTAGGTCCTAACGCGCGACTGTCTAGGGGTGGAGGGGCAGTTGGCCCTGGCTGGCACGAGGCAGCGTACCTCTTGCGAGTGATGCCCGATTTCATTCCCAGGTCGTTCTGGAGTTCCTCCTCGGTGAGCCGCAGCAGCAGATCACCGTCTACCTGCTGTTCCTGGGGGTGGAAGGGTCACGTGTAAGAAAGGGCCCCCTCCTCAGCCTCAGCCATGGGATCACGAGCTCAAGATGCAAGGTGAGGGGCCTGTCGGCGGCGGTGGAGGAGGCAGAAGGGACCCAGATGGGTGCCAAGGGGCCCAAGAGGGGCTGAGTACTCGCTCCCCAGCCCCAGGAACCCGCCCTGGCGCCATGCGCTTTTGGATTGGGAGGGGACACCGTGGTCTGCGCCCCAGGGGACGCCCACAGCGGCCATGGCCCTACCCGGAAGCTCTGGCAGTACTGGGAGAAGCCGATCTGCTGCAGCCACGTCTGGACCTCGGCCTCCTTCCAGCTGGCCACGCAGGGCAGGATGGGCCGTGGCACCTCCTCACCCAGCAGGCGTAGCGCACGCTTGGCCAGGGCCGATGTGGTGCCGTTGGTGGAGTAGGAAACGAGGCGCTTCAGGCTCTGGATGGCGCCGATGTCGCTGAACACCTAGGGAGGGGATGGGGAGAAGGTGGCTTAGGTCCACCTGCTCCCCCCACCGCTGACAGTCTCACCAGCTGCCCCAGTCCTGCCTTCATCCGCTAAGTCACCCAGTGCTGGGGATTCCTCTTTAGACTTCTTTAGACAGAAATTCTTTAGACTTCTAACCAGGTTCCCCTCACGTGTCCCTTCCATAGCTCCAATCGCCCTGGGATAGTCCGAGCTGTTAGTACGGACACCAGGCCCTGTGCAGTGCAGCCTCCACCCACTTCTGGCTCACCCTGTCTTCCACCAACCCACACTTGTCTAAAAACCACGCTGGGCACATACCTCCCAAGGCTCTCACACCTTTGGGTCTTCGCCAAGATGTTTCCAAACCCTTACTTTTTCCAGGCTGCTTGAAGGAACACTACTGGAGTCCTGTACCTGGCACGACGGGTGGGGGTGGGGCCTCAATGTGTCTGAGGGACTGCACTTACTTGGCCTTGATTGGGACGGGGAGACAGGCCTGGTGATCGTGGCTGCTGCCCAGGTTCAATCCTTGGGGTCCTCCCTCCCTATTTCCCTTCTCCCAAAGTGGACTGATGTGCTCCCACGCCAAACTCTGGGGTGCAGAGGACACTAGGCACTGGAGGAGGCCTCAGAGACCCCTCACATAGCAGTCTCTTCTTGACCTATGGGGACACACATGATGGCGACAGTCCTCTGTGAGACATACCCCATTGAGGACTCCCAGATGAGAGCCAGCTGCAGACAAGTTGGACCATGGGACCAAACAAAGAAATGCAAACATTATAGGGATAATGTTGAATCTGTAAGATTTTAAAAACAAACCCCACTAACTTCTAGTAATGAAACTGCAATTAATCCTACATCCAGGATAAGAACTGCTGCTGTGGTCCAACTCCTTCAGGTGTCAAAAGGATAAAAATAAGGCCCAGAGAGGGAATGCCAGGTGCCCAAGGCCATGCAGCAAGTTAAAGCAGCATGCAGAGGCTGCGGCTTAGGTGCTGGGGACTCAGGTGGGGGGTGTCTGGCTGCCAGTCTCCAGCCACCACCTTCCCCAACAGCTGAGGTCTCCACTTGCCGCTCCCTCGCCGGTCTGCCCCTGGGCACCGGAACTCAGTATGTCCCTCTGAACTCACTTTCTGGACCCACTCCAGCCTGTCTCACCCAGTCCTCCTTTTCCCCTGGGTTGCCCCTGCCCAGAGTCACCCTCAGCTCCTCTCTCTCCTTTCCCCTTGTTCCATCTCTTCAACACCTCTTGAATCTGTCTGCTCTCTCTGCCACTACTGCCTCCACCATCCCCTCTGCATCTCCCCCTAACCACAGCCTCCTACGGGGTCCCAGGTCTCCAGTCCCACCTTTGACCTCCCCCTTTCCACACAGTGGCCAGGGTGACCTGGGTAAAACACAAGTGTCCATTGCTTGAAAACCTCTGTGTCTTCCTCTTGCCCCCAAGGACCAAGTCCAGGCCTTGCATTCAAGGCTAAAGCAATTGGCCTCTCAGCCCTGGTCTTGCTTCACCTGATTCCAGTGTGTCCTTCGAGTCCCACTTCAACGTCCCTTCCTCTGGGAAGCCTTCCCAGATGCTCTCTATCGCCACACCTGCACCCACCTTGGTCTTGCCCTGCAGGCTCTTGATGGCAGCCTCTGCACAGAGGTAGAAAGCCCCGATGCACTGCGCCTCCAAGCGCGAGGAGTCGAGCAGAGGCACGAGGCGCTGCAAGTCGTCGGGCCCGCGGCCCTGACTTGTGTCGCTGGCGTCCACCAGGCAGCGGGCAAAGCGGCCGGGGTCCAGCGAGGCCACAAGCGGCTCCACGAGCGCCAGCGTGCCCGAGCGCTCCACCTCGCGCTCCACCTCCTTGTTGGTTGCCAGCACCGCCACGGCCAGGCAGGCGTGCAGCCGCAGTAGCTCATCCTCCTTGGAGAAGGCGAGCGGGAAGAGCCACTCGGCCGCGCGCTTCTCCACCATGCGCCGCTGCACCGCCTGGCCCCCGTGCAGCGCGCAGTTGGCCAGCGCCAGCGCGCAGTGGCGCAGCAGCGCCGCGTCGGTGCGGCGGCACCAGAACAGCACGGCGTCCAGGCCGCCAGCCGCCACCAGCCGCTGGCACGTCTCCTCCGAGTGCTTGAACATGTGCTCCAGGATGCCCGCCACACTCCTGGCCAGCTCCACGGGCTCGCGTTCCTTCGCCAGGTTCAGGATCACGCCCATCCCGATGCGAGCCACGCGATCCCTGCAGGAACCAAGTGGAAGAGAATGGGAGGCGTGGCTTGCCTGGGGTCGGGAGGCCTAGTCACTTAAAGCCTCATTAGGGTTGTATGAGACACGAGGGAGCACGATCCTTCCATCACCTCCTGCTCTGGGAGGACCACTCTGGCCACACCCATTTTCTTCCCTACTTCCCACCATTGACAAGCAGTATGTGTAGTGATTGACAGTCTCGGCTCTGGGCGCAGGCATCCGGCCTAGCGGTTAAAACACCCGCATCCCACATTCCAGTGCTGGGTTTGGTGCCCTGCTCTGGGCCCTGACTGCAGCTTCTTGCTAATGCAGACCCTGTGAGGCAGCAGTGATGTTCAACTAATTGGGTTCCTGCCATCTGCGTAGCAGACCTGGAGTTTTGGCTCCATTGTGGGCATTTAAAGAGTGGGCCAGCAGATGGGAGCTCTCTTTCTTATTGTTTGCCTCTGTGTCTCTCAAATTTTTAAAAGTTGAAAGAAAGAAGGATTGACAGAGGACCCCAGCTCTGGAGCAGACCTGGGTCCTGGTTTCTTCTTTGCCATTTTCTAACTGTGGCACCTTGGGCACCTTCTTTTATTTCTCTCCCTCAGTTTCCTCACCCCATAACTGGGAGATTAAGAATATTAAACTCATAAGATTATCATCAAGACTACTGAGATAATCCCTACAGAGAGTTTAGCACAGTGCATGGCACACAGCAAAAACTCCACAGATGTGAACTTGTCATTTCTGAGGTGTCACTTGAAGTACACCACTCTTAGCCTTGCCTTCAAATTTTCCCTCGCTCCTTACTCCACAACTGGGTCACATTTACTCATGCATTCAACAGTTGCATGTTGAGGGTTTACTCTGGGCCAGGCCCTGTGCTACGGGCTGAGACTAAACAATGACTAAGGTTGACTGGAGCTTATCTTTAGCTAATGCAAGAGCAGAAGCTATAGAAAGCAAGTAAACAGTGAATGAACAAGACAGGAGTCATATGGCCATGTTGCCAGCAAAATGGATGATGTAATGGAATATGCCTGGTGGAGGGAGTGTCTGAGGCACTGACGTCCCAGAGCTAAATGCTGAGAAATCCCAGCCTGCAGATGTCTGAGAGAACAGCATAATAGGGAGACAGAGGGCCCAGGACAAAAGCCCCAGGGCTGGTGAGCTGGTGTGTTTGAAGAAGAAAAGGTGGCCAGAGACATGGCAATGTCTAAAGCCAGTCAGGAAAAATAGAAGATCAGCAAGGGATTCACACAGGAAATGTGCAAGTAAATATTCAAATCAACAAGATATTCAATAGAAAATAGGCAAAGGATGCAAACAGGAAATTTACCAAAGAGGAAATTCAGTGTGTGAACAAGCAGAAAAAGAGGTGCTCTAGCTCATCAGTAACCAGAGAAATAAAAAATTAAAGCAAGCGTCATCATTCTACACCTATCAGACAAGCACAGTCAGAAGCTGGATTTAAACAGAGGGTTAGTGGGGTGTGGGGTGACAAGTACCCTGGAGTGGGTGGAGGCACAGGCTGGGGCGGTGAATCTGGAAAGCAGACAATCTCTGCTCAAAGAGACTGTCACACAGATCAACAAGGGCATGTGGACAAGGATGTTCACTCCAGTATTACTTGTGGTGAGAGGAAGTTGGGGGCGCGGGGTATGAAGCCTGGAATAACAGGTAGCTTGGGCACTGTCGAGGATTTGGGAGCAGTTGCAAATAACTGAGAAGAAGAAAAGAGCAACGGGAAGGATCTTCAAAATGGGACATTGAGTGGGAAAAAGTAAGAAACAGAATGTGCTATATGACACCATTTGCATCAACTAAAAATCCATGGACACAAAACAGTAAAGATGTTACCAGGTCACGGAAAATCCCCATGAAATATACTGAATTGGTGCTTATGGGGTTCAGACAGAAGAATGATGGTCGTATTAGTCAAGAGGAGACAGGGAGGCTACATTCCAGGCATTTCCTGCAAAGCCACGGAGATGTCAGAGAGCTGGTGCGCTCGGGGAGCTGTCCACACCTCCCTGCGGCTGAGGCAGAGAGAGAGTGGGGAGAGAGGTCAGTCCTGGGAGGCTCTTGAGCCATCTCAAGCCACTTTTATTTTATCTTGATGGTAAATGGGAAACCACTGAGAAGTTCCAGAATGGGGAGTGACCTGGTCATGTGTGGGTTTTAAGAAACTCACTGTGGTTGCTAAAGAGGGGACAGGTCAAGGGATGAGCCCTAGGCCCAGCAGAGCAGGCCAAAGAGTAGCCACCCTCCTGGCAGAGGTGACGGCTTCCTGTCTTACAGACCTCCACAAATGATGTGCTCTCCATGTGATGTCACCTGCAAAGACTTGGCGGCCCAGGCATCCATGGGACCCTGGCCTAGTGGCCACCAGAATGACCACAGCACCTGTGACTGTGTGCCCACTACAGTGCCCAGAGGAGTCCAGACATGCCATAAAGCCAATGCAGCTTTGCTGAGCCAGCCTCTCTGCTTGTCTGCAGACCATCCCCAGAGGAACATCCCTGGGCAGCCAGAACTGCAGCTGTTCCTTCTACTAGTGTGAAAACCAAAGCTCAGAGAGGTCACAAGACATGCACAAAGTCTCACAGCTTCTAAGAGGCACAGCTGGGATCTGTACCCAGATCTGTCTATCTCCAGAATTCAAGATCTATCATCCTCACTTTGTACTTCAAGGCAGAGTTCTAGAATGTCAGAGATGGGATGTGTGTAAGGAATCATCTAACTCAACACCCTCCTTCTTGGGGACTTGCCTAAGGTCCAGTGAAGGGAAGTGCTTGTTCAGGACATTAATTTGGAGCTGGGAGTTTACTCTTGACCCCAAGCCCTCACCTGTCCCTAATGCACTTGGCACCTTTAGGGAGTTGGACAGTACATTGGGTATGAGAACTTTTCACTCAGCCCTCAATTCTTCTGTGGGCTGATAGAGTGTGGGCCTGATGAAATGGGCATAGACTTTGGAGCCATACAGGTCTGGGATCAAATCCCAGCTCTAAAGGTGGGAGTATTATAAGCATATATATGAAAGTACTTTAAAAATTTGTAGATGAGTGGAATTAAAAAGTGAAGTTATTTTGGTGCAAAACCTTTTTAAATATATGCATGATTTTTCATAATACACATGTGAAATTTTTGAAGACCCTTCATATCTAACAAACATAAATGCAGAGCTTCTATATGGATACTCTAGAAGGAGATTCAAGAAACTTGTGCTAGTGGTTTGCCTTCAGAGGGGGAAGAACTTTTAGTTGCACACCTTTGGTGTACCTTTGCACGTTTGAATTTATATGCAATTATTTTCTGGTTTTTAAAATCTTTTTCCCTCTATTCATTGAATATTCTTGGGAAAACCATTTAACATCTCAGGCCACATTCCTTGTTGTCCTCTGATGGGTTTGGGATGTGAGCTTAGAGGGCTACTGGTCAGATGGGGGTTCCCTGGGTGTTGTGGATTCATATCCAGAGAGCCCTACCCTGTTGGCTTATCCTGGTAGTTGAACTACCAGGAGAGAGAACTGTGAACTGGGCTCCTGGGCAGTGGCTGTAGCAGCCTCTTGGGGGAGAAGGGAGCTGCAAGAAGGGAAATGGCAAAAAGGGGGTGGGTGCACTGAAAGACCTATAAGAGGAGGCAGTGGTGGGCGGCTGATGGAGGAGGAGACAGTTTCATAAATTTAAATCTTCCATATATTGGCCCTTCTCTGTCTTCCAGCTCTGACACCTGATAGTCCAGAGGGGTACAGAGACTGCCTTTCTTGGAAAAGGTTTTCACAGCAAACAGGTGTGCTGAGCTCTGTCCTTGGTCCTGAAGTGAAATGCCATCACTCTGTACATTTCTTGGAGCTGTGGATACTGGTTAGTGGCTCTCAGGAACTCTGAGCCACGTGAAGATTGATGTTTCCAACCTTGAAAAATATCAACACCATCTGCATCTTGCAGTCGTCTTCTTCTAGGATGCTGACTATACCTCCTCTCCAAGGGTTCAAGTTAAAGCTGCCCATCCCAGCCAAATATGAAGCCAACAGGGCACACTCACTATCTGAGCCTCACCACACCCAGTGAACACCCTCCCAAATTCAGGGCTCATCCTCATCAGGGCACATGATGTTAGACACGAGATTAGTGACCTGCTGAATAAACAGAACTCTATCTCAGTCTCCCCATCTGAACTACTTCATCCATGCACTTTTGTCAGTATATAATTTCCATCAATCACAGTAATTCTTCCTTTTTTGAAAATGGTAAGGGAAATGCCCCAACTCATCCCCTTACACCTATGAGAGCCGCATGAGCTGAACATCCTTGCAAACTTTTCCAAGCCTGAAGAGCCTAAGAAATCAGCCTGCTACAGGGATGTGCAGCCTGGTCTGCTCTGTTATCAGAGGGGATGGAAAGTGAGACTTTGACGGTCTTTATACTCCAGGGGAGACCCCAAAAGCAGGGGAAAAGGGGGGCAACCCAGCTCATTTTGGTACCACTGACTTTGGCTCAGGGCTATGTAAGGAAGGGGGAGAGAACACAGGCTGTATCTGGCCCCTGCCTGCCTCTAAGTTTCCTTATTCATCCCAGCAGAAAAATGTTCTGCTCCTGGGGCCAGTGCTGTGGCGTAGCAGGGAAAGCCACCGCCTGCAGTGCTGGCATCCCATATGGACTCTGGTTCGAGTCCTGGCAGCTCCACTTCCAATCCAGCTCTCTGCTATGGCCTGGGAAAGCAGTACAAGATGGCCCAAGTCCTTGGGCCCCCACACCCACATGGGAGACCTGGAATAAGCTCCTGGCTCCTGGCTTCTGGTCGGCCCAGCTCTGTCCATTGCAGCCATCTGGTGAGTGAACCAGTGGATGGAAGACCTCTCTCTCTCTCTCTCTCTCTCTCTCTCTCTTTCTGCCTCTGTCTCTCTGTAATTCTGCCTTTCAAATAAATCAATCTTATAAAGCAAGCAAACAAACAAACAAACAGAATGTTCTGTTCTCCAGCAGCAATGGCAGAAGGAGCTCCTGTCTGAACAAGAAAGGAGGATGGAGCAGGGGGTGCCTTGGAGCAGCAGGAAGGGTTAGTAACCCTAAGCCAGCACTCATTTCAGCCAGGGCACAGGGGAACGGAAGGGGTCTCTCTTGCCTTTTTCTGAGCATTGTGTCCTTTCCTGCACAGGCGGATGGAATGCAGGGGAGGGAAGGTCGCATAGGAGGGCACCCAGACCCAGGGGCAGAGAGCTATGGGCACAGATTTCTGCCCTACTACTCCATTCCTCACCCCTTGGCCCTGGGAGCGAGTGCTGGCTGCACCATTAGTTCACTGGGTGGAAAGTCACTAAACTTTCCTCGTTTGTAAAACAGACGCACCGGTCTCTGTTAGAGGCACGGTGCTGGTATGGTGTAGTGAGGCAAAGGCACAGCCCCAGGCACTCGGGACGCCCACACCACGCGGCGCTCTCCCCCCAGCCCCGTGCCCTCACCGGTTCTCAGCCACCAGGATCTGCTCCAGCAGGCGCGCGGCCTGAACGCGCGTCTCCAGCTCCGGCACTTGCAGCAGCCGCAGCAGCAGGTCGAGGCCACCGTCCAGGCGGATAGCATCGCACAGACCCTGGGCCACCTCGCGGCCCACGGCCGGCAGCAGCCAGGCCTCCTCCACTAGCTGGAAGACTTCGGCCAGGCCGGCGCCCACAGCCCGCGCGCCACCCGCCTGCTTCAGCGCAGACAGCGCCTGCTGCAGCTCCGGCAGCGCGCGCTCCAGGGCGCCCTGTACTTCGGTGCCCACTCCGGGCGACACCTCGCGGGGCCCGCGGCCTCCCGCCGCCCACCACAGGCCCGCGCCGCCGCCCCCCTCCGGCCCTGGCACCGCCAGCCGCTCGGCTCCCGGCCGCGGGCCTGACATGGCGAAGAAACGGCACAGCTTGTAGGCGGAGAGGAGCAGCGTCAGGACCATGGGCGCGGGGCCGCGGGGGACATCCCCGGCCTTGGGAAGGAGGGGACCCGAGAGAGGAAGGGGGAAGAGGATGCAAGAGGGAGGAATGGAGAGAAGGGTACCAGGCAAGGGCGCCTGCGGGAAGTTTGGGGGAGGGGGAGGTTAGGATCCAGGATCCGGGGCACAGCGGTTGGGGAAGAGGATCTGAGTCCAGATGCGGGGAGTGGGCGGAAGGAGTGAGCGGGAAGCCAAGGGCTGGATCGGGTCGGGGGTTGGGGATCTCAGAGTCAGAACAAAGCGCGGTCCAGCGGGCTTTGAGATGCTCTGCAACAGCCACGCCCCTGAGCACCCGCGACCCGGGGCGGGGCTCCGCCGCCGCCGCCTGCGCAGCCCCACCCTCAAGCCTTCTCCAGCCACGCCCACGCCCGGCCCGCCCTCCTGCCGGGGTCTCTGCCTGTGCAGGGAAACCCCCCTCGCGGCAGTGTGGCAGCAACACCGCTGAGTGTGCCCCCTCTCCTGCTCGTGGTTAGAGCAATCGCAGAACAATTCTGTGCTACTCTGAAAGCCCTTTTACACCGGTTTCAAGCCTCAAGGCATACCTATGTGGTAGGGTCAGTGTTCCCGTTTCACAGCTGAGATGACTGAGACCCACAGAGAAGAGATGGGCCAAAGTCACACTCCCCTCTGATTCCAGCACGGGACAAAGTCACCGAGAAGGCAGATTCCGTCCCCACCAGGTGGTGGAGGATTTCAGAAGGTCTGCTGAGTCAGCGGATGTTCTCTGGGTAGGGGAATCAGATTTATGGCAGTCAGAATTGTGCAGCATGGGACCACTCCATACAGATGGTGAGACTGAGAGTGGGGACAAGGAGCATCCTGCCCAGGATGGGTGGATTAGTGGAATACTCAGGGGTCACGTTGGTCCAATGGGCTACCATTCATTGTTTCCTGTGGTATGAAGACCAGATGGGGAGACCAGTCCATGTACGAGAAGAACCCAGACATAAAACCTTGTTCTTTCATGATAAAAAAGATAATTTTAGGGGACAGCACTGTGGCATAGTGAGTAAAGCAGCTACCTACATCGCATATGGGCGCTGGTTCGAGTCTGAGCTGCTCCACTTCCGATCCAGCTCTCTGCTATGGCCTGGGAAAGCAGAAGATGGTCATCCACATGGGAGACCCGGAAGAGGCTCCTGGCTTCGGATTGGCCCAGCCTCAGCTGTTGCAGCCATTTGGGGAGTGAACCAGTGAATGAAAGACCTCTCTCTCTGCCTCTGACTCTGTAACTTGCCTTTCAAATAAATAAATAAATCTTTTTTATAAAAGAGATAATTTTAGGGTAGGTGTTTGATGCAGAGGTTAAGACGCTGCTCTTAAGCTGGCACCATGGCTCACTAGGCTAATCTTACGCCTGCAGCGCCAGCACCCTGGGTTCTAGTCCCGGTTGGGGCACCGGTTCTGTCCCAGTTGCTCCTCTTCCAGTCCAGCTCTCTGCTGTGGCCCGGGAGTGCAGTGGAGGATGGCCCAAGTGCTTGGGCCCGGTACCTGCATGGGAGACCAGGAGGAAGCGCCTGGCTCCTGGCTTCGGATCGGCGCAGCGCGCCGGCCGCAACTCACCAGCCGTAGCGGCCACTTGGGGGGTGAACCAACAGCAAAAGGAAGACCTTTCTCTGTCTCTCACTGTCTAACTCTGCCTGTAAAAAAAAAAAAAAAAAAAAAAAAAGATGCTGCCTTGGACACCTACAGTCCTTTTAGGAGCGCCTGGATTCGAGTCTGGCTCCGCTTCCCATTCCAGCAGCCTGCTAATGCATGTCTTGGGAGGCAGCAGGTGACGACTCAAGAAGTTGGGTATTTGTCACACTTATGGGAGACCCAGAATGTGTTCTGGGCTCCCAGCTTCACCCCTGACTGTTGCAGGCATTGGGGACTGAGCTAGCAGATGGAAGATCTGTCTGCCTGCCTGCCTCTCTTCTCTGTCTCTCTTTCAAAACAGTAAACTGAAATACTAAAAAAATTTTTTTTTCTGACAGGCAGAGTTAGACAGTGAGAGAGAGAGACAGAGAGAAAGGTCTTCCTTCCGTTGGTTCACCCCCCAAATGGCCACTACGGCCGACACACTGCGCCGATCCGAAGTCAGGAGCCAGGTGCTTCTCCTGGTCTCCCAAGCGGGTGCAGGGCCCAAGGACTTGGGCCATCCTCCACTGCCCTCCTGGGCCACAGCAGAGAGCTGGCCTGGAAGAGGGGCAACTGGGACAGAATCTGGCGCCCCGACCGGGACTAGAACCCGGGGTGCCGGCGCTGGAGGTGGAGGATTAGCCTAGTGAGCCACGGTGCAGGGCCAGAAATACTAAAATTTTTAAAAGAGAAAATCTCCCCAGATTGCTTACCATATCTCTTCCCACCACCACCCCCCATTTCACTGCCTGAAATACACAACGGGTAAGTGAGCACCCAGCCAGAGAGGTGCCTGATCAAACAGATCACAGATCAATAGCCCTCCATGGAGTTGAACTGGAAGCTACCCCAGGCGCCATTCCGTCTATTCTAGTTCATGTAATCCTCAGCATCTCATGAGGCACGGGATTGTCAGTTGCATTTTACTGCAGGGCCTAAGGCTCAGCGAGGTGAAGCAGTCACCCAGCAAGTGACACCATGGGTCTTCGTTCTGCCTGCCGGACCTACTGTCTGCCTCCTCCCCCACCTGATGACCTAATGGCCCGAGCTTGGCAAGGGTTCTGTTTCCCAGCTCTCCCAGGCCCAGGGTTCTGGGAATCTGACCCTTTGCTGAGGTGGCCTCTGGCATCCAGGAAGTGGGGACTGGGCTGGGAGTTGAGCAAACAGAGCAGCAGAAAGGACAGCTCTGCTTCTCTGGTTCCCTCCCTATTCCCGCCTCTCCCTCCCTTCCTCAGGCATTGGAGCTGAGACCTCAGGGAGCTCAGAGGCCAGCTGGCCAGGCCCTCAGCTAGAGGCTCTGTCATGGCACCTCTGAGACCCATCTTCACGCTGGCTCTGCTGCTGTGGGTTGTTCTGGCTGACCAAGGTGTGGGAGGGTGTTGGCGGCCATCGGGGCCAATGTTGGGTGGGCTTGGGGGGGCTTGGGTGCGGCTGTGGCAGCTGACTCCCACTCCCCACAGAGTCCTGCAAGGACCGCTGCACGGAGGGCTTCAACGCCAACAGGAAGTGTCAGTGTGATGAGCTCTGCTCCTACTACCAGAGCTGCTGCGCTGACTACGCGGCCGAGTGCAAGCCCCAAGGTGCGTCCAGACCCGGGGAGTGGGCCTGGGGTCCTCTCTGCGACTGGAGGCACCACCTCCCCCTCTGCTTGCAGTGACCCGCGGGGACGTGTTCACTATGCCGGAAGATGAATATGGGCCCTATGACTACATCGAGCAGACCAAAGACAATGCCAGCGTCCATGCACAGCCCGAGAGCCCCACCGTGGGCCAAGAGCCAACCCTGAGCCCTGACCTGCAGACTGAGGGGGGCGCTGAGCCTACACACGAGGTCCCCCTGGAGCCTGAGATGGAGACCTTAAGGCCTGAAGGGGAGGACCTGCAGGCCGGGACCACGGAGCTAGGGACATCGGCGTCCCCAGCAGAGGAGGAGCTGTGCAGTGGGAAGCCTTTTGACGCCTTCACCGACCTCAAGAATGGTTCCCTCTTTGCTTTCCGAGGTGACTCGAGGGGCAGGTCTTGGGGGGAGGGGGTCTGCCCCAGGGTATCTCCTCCCTCACACTGGCTCCTCCACTCTAGGACAGTACTGCTACGAGCTAGACGAAACGGCAGTGAGGCCCGGGTACCCCAAGCTCATCCAGGACGTCTGGGGTATTGAGGGCCCCATTGACGCTGCCTTCACCCGCATCAACTGCCAGGGCAAGACCTACCTCTTCAAGGTGCCTGGCAGGGGGCTGTGGGTCCTGTGGGTCTTGAGTAGGGGGCCTCCAGGGAGGGTTGACAGGTGGTGTGTCCAGGGCGAGACTGGGCTGGAAGGTGGGCTCTGGGGTCCTGCCATACCCGACTGGGACTCTGAGAGGACAGGGCAGTCGGAGGACCTAGGTTCTGCCTGCAGCAGGGGATGGCCACTCTGGGGCTGGGGACTGTGCCTGTGTGACCAGAGAGCCCCCTCCTCACCCCCTGTCACCTCACCCACCTCTCAGGGCAGCCAGTACTGGCGCTTCGAGGACGGTATCCTGGACCCTGACTACCCTCGCAACATCTCTGAAGGCTTCAGTGGCATCCCAGACAACGTGGATGCGGCCTTTGCCCTCCCTGCTCACAGCTACAGTGGCCGGGAGCGGGTCTACTTCTTCAAGGGTACTCAGGGGGTGGGGTGGGGGTGGGGGAGAATGGCCACGGGGCACCTCACTGGGCACAGGATACAGCGGGTGCCCACCCCCACACCAGGGGCACCTTCCTGACGCCAGTCGCCCTGCCCCCAGGGAATAAGTACTGGGAGTACCAGTTCCAGCAGCAGCCCAGCCAGGAGGAGTGTGAGGGCAGCTCCCTGTCGGCCGTGTTTGAGCACTTCGCCCTGCTGCATCGGGACAGCTGGGAGGACATCTTCAAGCTTCTCTTCTGGGGCAGACCCTCTGGTACACCTGGGGAGGGGCCAGGGCAGGCAGGCTGGCTGGAGGGGACTGGGACTGCAGTCATTGATCAGGAGCTGTTTGCTCAGGCCAGACTTTGCTTCTGTTGACCTTGGCAGGGGAGCGTCGCTCCACTTGGACCCCACACCTTGGACTTTGCCTAGCACAGTCAAGGGCACGACCAGCAGAGGGAAAGGCTGTGGCTGGGGGGTATAGGGAGGCCTGGGGAGTGGGGTAGAGACACCAGGCATCAGGCAGAGGGAGGGCGAGGGAAAGAGCAGCAAGGCACCGGCCTGGGTGCTGGGCTCTGCCACCAGCTGGCTACACCTTTTCCTTGGACAGGGCGTGGTAGATGAACTCTAAAAGCCCCCCATTAACTCCTTTTCTGCCACAGGTGGTGCCAGACAGCCCCAGTTCATCAGCCGGGACTGGCACGGGGTGCCCGGGAAAGTGGATGCAGCCATGGCTGGCCGCATCTACATCTCGGGCTTGACGCCCAGCCCCTCTGCAAAGAAGCAAAAATCTAGGCGTCGCAGCCGCAAACGCTACCGCTCCCGCTATGGCCGTGGCCGTAGCCAAAACTCCCGCCGGCTGTCCCGTTCAATCTCACGGTTATGGTTCTCCAGCGAGGAGGTCTCGCTGGGGCCCTACAACTATGAGGACTACGAGACGAGCTGGCTCAAGCCTGCCACCTGCGAGCCCATCCAGAGCGTCTACTTCTTTTCAGGAGGTGGGAGCCTCTGTCGGCCTTGAAGAAATTGGTTTAGCCTAGGCCTTCCCTGCTGCCTCCGGTCCCAAAGGGCTGAACACAGCCTGACAGGCAGTGACCCGTGAAAGCCAGGCCAGGAGTCCCTCATGCATTGTGGATGTCACCTTCCCTTCCAGGGGAGACCTGGGTCATTATTCTTGGGACATGACCGGTCTCACACACCCTCTCCTGTCTTCTCTTGCAGACAAGTACTACCGAGTCAACCTCCGCACACAGCGAGTGGACACTGTGAACCCCCCCTATCCCCGCTCCATTGCCCAGTACTGGCTCGGCTGCCCAGCCCCTGGCGGCCAGTAGGAGTCAGGGCCCATCCAGTGTGGCTTCTGCTGCTCCCTCTCCCACCCCAATAAAGGTCCTGTGGCCCTGAGTGTGAAACTACTGTCCTGCCTGGGGACCGATGGCTGCCAGGGAGTCAGAGAAGAGCCTCTCTGTGAGCCTGGGGAGAGCTCGGAGAGCCGCCCTCCCACCGAGCCAGCAGTTAGGCAGGGGCTTGAACCCCACTGATGATGACAGGAGGCACCAAGCCACCTGTGCCTGGGTGAGGCTTGCTTTGCCCCTTAGGGTCACCTAGGGTCTGGGAAGAGGGAAGGAGCTAGAGGTTGGTGGTGTTCTGGCTCAGCTTCTCTGCCCACCCCAAGACTGAAATCCAGGCTGAGCACCAGGGGAACCCATCACTGTGCTCCCTCAACCCCTCCCCTGGGGTGGGTTTTTCTTTGAGGTCTCTGGGGTCTGCGGTGGGGGACAGTGAAATCAGAAGAGGAGGAACGGTAGGAACTGAAAGGAAATTTGAGTGCACTCCCTTCTCTTAGGTAAGTGGTCCGGAAGACTTCCAAGGAAGAGAACACTGTACAGGCAAACATCTTTCCTAAAGCCCCTCAATTGTACCTGCAAACCTTCTCTGCTTCCAGGTTCCTGGGCTCCACGAAGCCCCTATGAGTTCTCAGATACAAAGCTCTAAAACAGACTGAGGGCCACCTGGTGGTGACAGGTGCTCCCCAGCCTGGCTGACAACGCACACCAGCTCATCTCTGGTCACCCTGTCGTCCCACTCAGCCTGTCCAGCTTCCCTAGCCCAGTCCTCAGCTGTGGGACAGGACTCTACCCACTCCCTGCTAAGGGCAGCCCCTGGCACTGGGGGCTTGGGCAAAGCCCTGGAGAGATGGATCTCTGACTTGGTGGAAGGAGCAGGTTTCAGGCACAGACTGCTAGGGTTTGAGGTTTGAGGGGGAGGCTGGGGCCAGCTTCCTTTGTGAAGACTGCAAAGCTTGCCCTACCCATGCCTCCTCCACAAACCCCAGCCACCCCTGGCTTCCCTCTTTCCCTGGGACTTCTCTGCCTCCTTGGTGCCGGGCTCCAAGCCACTCCCCTTGGAGGCGGGGCCAGCCACTCTAAGCTGGATAAAACATCAAGTGGAGGGGTCTGGTATGGGCACAGCCTGGCGTGGCCCTCAGGCTCCTCGCCTCTGCCAGCCCCATGGCCAGCCCCGTGGAGATGCCCCTAACAGGTGATGCGGTGGGGCAAAGGGTGGGCAGGGCGTGGCGGGGGAAGGTGGAAGGCGGGGGAGCAGGGGCTTTAGGGTCTGTTCAGGATTCCCAGGCGGTGGAGGTTCTTGCTGGGACTTCTGGCTTTGTCCCTGCCAGGCCGTGCCAGTGGGTTGGGTCCGCCCCGGAGAAAGCGGACCACCTTCAGTAGAGGGCAGCTGCTGGAGCTGGAGCGGGTGTTTGCGGCCTGGCCCTATCCTGACATCAGCACCCGTGAACACCTGGCCCGGGTCACCCACCTTCCTGAGGCCAAGATCCAGGTGAGCTGTGAACCCCACCCCTCCCTCAAGCTAGGGCTACTCTGAGATGGCCAACTTCCGGGCTTGACCCATAGCCCCTTTTCTCTGGGAGTCCTGTCTTCAGGTTCTTTTCTTATTGCTGGGGGAGGAGGTGCTGGAGCCGCAATAGACACCTTCATCTTCCCTACCAGGTGTGGTTCCAGAACCGCCGGGCTAAGCGAATCAAGAACAGGAAGCCAGGAGACTTGAGCCCCAGGCCTGAGTCCCCCCAGAGTTCCTACTCTCTACCAGATACCCCCCTACATCCCTCGGAGCCCCAAATGCTGGGCCAGCCTCCGCCTGCCACCAGCACAGCTGAGTGCCCTTCTGAGTGTCTGTATGCCTCCCGTTTAGCTCCGCCTTTGGGTTCCAGCCAGGGCTGGGCAGGGGCTAAGGCTACAGCCCCAAGGGGACTGGCTGGGGCTACAGTGGTCCACCCTTCTTTGGAGCGAGTTACTTCTCAGACCTCACTAGGCAGATTGTCTGACCTCATCTATGCCTCGGCCATTGTCACCAACGTGGACCATTCTTAATCTACGTCCAGAACTTGCAGGCCCCCTTCTTTGGCTCCTGTGGCACACCTTGCCTTTCCTAAGACTGAACATCTGAGAAGTGGACCCTTGCCCCCTCCTTTTACACAGGGGAGTGCTTTTATGGGGAGTTTAGCTCAGGAATTCCCCAGGTTCTGCTGCAGGTCCTGCACAGTGACTGAGGGCATGGCTCCTGCTGCCCAGCACCCTAGCCCCTCCTGGGACATACGTTTGTCTTGGCAGGAGGTACCTTCAGAAGGATGGGGGGGCATGTTTCTCAGCACTCCTATCAGACCTGGTTTCCAATTCTCACCCCAACTGCTGACCACCTGCCTCTGAAATAGGGGCAGCGTTTGCGTCTGCTGAGGCTCCTGCAGGCTATCATGCTATCATCTGACTGCTAAGTGAGCTAGGAGACGGCTGGGCCCCTCCTCTCACCTGAGCAAATTAATCACATCTATGGATCTCAAGAGGCAGTGACATCAGAGAAATAAAGTAGGAGGAGGAGCCTGGGGCTCATGCTGATTTCATTTTCACAAAGATCAGATTGGCTGCGCTGTGATGTGGGGCTGTGGAGAGGCGAAGGGGGGTACAGCAACACTGGGTTCTGGTATCACCGTCATCTGTAATACCAACTAATCTCCAAATAAAACCCCAACTCCGTACCTTAATCTGGATTGTTGTCTGCCGGGAATGAATGGGGACAAGGGCCGTTCGTTCTGGAACTTTATCTCCACCACTTAATCCCTAAATGGGGCGAGGTTCCACAGATTTCGGGTGGGAGGTATTACCCAGGCTTCTGCAGATTAGTTACAGGGATAGTTAATTGGAGGGCTTAGGTCTCTGCCCAACAGACCCTGGGGAGACAGGGGACTAGCAGAGGCAGTCCCACTGCTTCTGGGACATTCTCACTGCTTCCCCTCTGGGAGCTGCTCAGAGAGGAAAGCACGGAATCTGCGATTGGACCGCACTGGACTCACATCCTGACGCTGCTACAGAACCATGGTGACCTCTGAAACTCTGAGGTGCAGAAATGGTAACATTCACTTCCTCTCCTTGGGAATAAGGCACGGAGATGGGTGTGTGTAAAAACCCAACAAATGCTACTTCCTTCTCTGTACTATGGGTCATGACAAAGTGGGACAGCCCCAAACTTCTTAAGCCTCTGACCTCCTGTCAAGCACTCCCTGGAACCAGACTGCACCTGAGAAAGTGCACGGTGGTGAGACAGAGGAAGAGGCTGAGCAGCAAGGTCCCTCCCCCAGCACAGCACAGACTGCCTGATTCCTAACCCTAACTCTGCCCTCCTTGCACAGAGGCCATCTGCTCCTCCTTACTCCCTGGATAGGGACCAGGTGTTCTACCTCACTAGCCCCAGGCGACAAAGTGACTCCCAGTGAGCGCTCAGTGACTCCCAACAGGCTGGGAGTCAGCGGTTGGGATGCAATGGAGACTCCATCTTCATGGATGGCTGGGGGTTGGGATGATCCCGCTTTAACTGTTAGATGTCCTGGGGTTAGAATCTATTCGAAGTGGCCTCTCTTTATCTGCCATTCAAAAGTCTTCTAGGGGCTGGTGCTTGTGGTGTAGCCACATGGGTGTTGGTTCGAGTCCTGGCTGCTCTACTTCTGACCCAGCTCTCTGCTAAGGCCTGGGAAAGCAATAGAAGATGGCCCAAGTCCTGGAGCCGTGCATCCAAATGGGAGACCTGGAAGAGACTCCTGGCTCCTGGCTTCAGACTGGCACAGCTCTGGCCATTGCAGCCATCTGGGGAGAGAATCAGCAATGGAAGACCTCTCTCTCTGCCTCTCTGAAACTCTGCCTTTCAAATAAATAAATAAATCTTAAAAAAAAAAAAAAAAAAAGTCTTCTAGTCTAGATCCAGGTGCCTGGGGGATGCATAAGCACAGATATGTGGGCAGCCTGCCCAAGGAATGAATTCACAGGGAGGCACAGCCACAGAGTCTCCAGAGCCTCACTTAGCTTCCTAACTCAATCGTCAGCGGTTCAGATGATCACGAACGCTGCAAAATGCCAGCTGTATTTCTTCTTACAGCTGACACTTCTCCCCACTAAGAAAACTGGCAAACACTGTAAAGGAAACAGCTATTGAGTCAATGATATAATTTACAAGAACAGAAAAATGCTTTGGAAAAAAAGGGGCCACAGGAACACATACAATAAACAAACAGAAAGAGCTACCATTAGGTACAGACGGTGAACAATTCTCACAACTATGGAAATTTCTTTGTGCTTTATGTTGTTTGTCACAAGATTGGAAATAAAGGCGTGCTGGATAAATATCTATTTGATGAATACCTAAGGTTGACATATTTGCTTTCTTTATTATTTAACAGACAGAACGAGAGATGCCAAAAAACAGAGTACTTATCTACTGGTCCATTCTTAAATGCCTGTGATGGCAGGGGATGGGTCAGAACAAATTTAGAAGTGTCTCCCATATGGGTGGCAGGGACCGAACCATTTCAGCCATCACCTTCTGCCTCGCAGGGTTTGCATTAGTTGGAAGCTGGAGCTAGGAATTGAGCCCAGGCACTCCAATAAGGGACATGGGCATCTCATCTGGCGTCCTAACAGCAGGGGCAAATGCCTGCCCCTGTGACACGTTTAAGTGCCTTATACAGATTCTGTCTTCACACCACTAATCTAAGCTTGCACAAGCTTAACTTGACACACAAACAGCAGGGGTCTTTGGCTCCACTTAACAGAGGAAGAGCCACAAGCTGGTCATTTGCCCTCGCTGCAACATTCTATACCAACCCATCTTCCTGACTTGATGTCTGTCTTCTTATCAGTTCCTCTCCTGGCACAAGCTGGAGACAATGGATCCTTTTTGCTTCCTTGGAAGTTTCTAATCTCAATTACAAGTCTGCATCACAGACGTGTGGGCGAAGGAAGGTGACTGACTTGTGTACTTGGACAAATTCAAGTATGGCTTACACTGGAAGGGCCTGGATTCCATTTACTCCTGATGGAAAAACGCTAGTGCCCAGAATGGACTGGAGAAGGCAGCTGAGCACTGGGCTCAGGAGAAGGTACTGATAGACGTGGTGGTGTCTGCATCTCTTCCACGGCTCCCTCTGGAAATTCACAAAAGATGCGGCTTCCCGTAGGGAGCCTGACTTGGTCCCCTGACTAAATGCAACTGAGAACAGGAGCCTGACTGGTTGGCTGAGAGTCAATGATGGGCAGTCAGGAGCCCCGAAGCCTTTCCGGACTGTGACGGCGAAGCACCAGTTACAGCTCTCCCAACTCGCCTTCCATCGCGCGCACCATGACATACAGCTCAGCCAGACCCACCACCGAGGCGACGATCAGGGCAGCCAACACCCGCTGGGGAAGAGGAGAACTAGGTTTAGGGGACACAGGCAAACTCCGAGCTCGGAGCCCCTAGGACCTCTAACAAGAACGGAGAGCCCCCAGCCTAGCTCCTAAGTTAGAGGAGGAGGAAAAAGGATCTAGCTTCTCTTGGAATTAATACCCCACCTCAAAAAAAGAAAAAATAAAGATAAAAAAAAAACAAAAAACAAACAAACAAAAAAACACCCCACCTCGTGACTGCTGGACGGCTCAAATGCTCCCGGTGTTTACTGCATAAACATATGTCCAACACCTCCCCCTCTATGATGCAGTTTCACACACGTCCTCCCTTTCCCACTAATGACCTCATGGGGAGCACCTTGCGTTGCCCAATGCCTACTCACCGAGGCCATTTCTGTGAAGATATACTGGCTTCCAAGGTAAGTGCAGACAAAGGCAGCTGCCACGGTGACAATGAAGTTGAAGATGGTGATGACCAGAGCCTTCACTGACCTCACTTTGGACAAAGGCCCAGAGAAGAAACCTTCAGGTAAGCATTCTCCAGGAGCCTGCCTCCCTCATCAACTGGGTTCCCCTCAAACAGTGAGTCTGAACGGCCCAGACTTAACCCCAGAGTGCTGGGATGGGAAGGGATGCCTGGCTTCCTAGCACCTCACCTTGTTTTCCCAGGTCACCGAGCGTCCCACCATGCCTCGAATCCTAGGGGGAAAGGCAGGGGATGTCAGAGCGGCAGCAGCTCGGAGGAAATACAGGGGCACTCATTTTTCAGTCTCGACCCAACCCTTCCTGTTCTGACACATTAACCCTGCCTTCTCCGTGGCTTCTTTTGCCCAGGACCAATGTCTGCTCTGGACCACAGAGCAAGAATGTCAGGGAGAGGACACAGACCCCTAGTACCCATCGACTCCTCTCCTGCTCCAGGACGGCAAAAAAGCCAGAAAATAGTAGGGAGCCCTGTCAGAAGAAAAGCTCCAAGGTTTACTTGCACCATTATGACGTTTAAGAATTGGACACCACTTAAGTCAGGGGTGAAGGACCTCTGGCCCACAGGCCACATAAGGCCTGCAAAACCATTTGGCCTGGTCCTGCCAAGGCAACCACAAGTGTGACTTGAAATTCCATAAATCTATAGTAGGCTAACTTTTAAGCTGGCAATTTTTTTTACAGAGCATGAATGATGTTATAAATATCCAAATGGCTCTTGGCAAAAAAATGATTCTCCACCTGAGTAAGTGAATGAGTTGAGAGTTGTAGTCTGCATGCAGTGCAGAGCATCTGGGGTCTCTGACGAGTATTCCAGCCAAGTTTTCACACTGCTTCTTTCCTGTGGACCCCTTTCCAGGGTAGGGCCCTCTTTCCACATACTTGTACTGAAAAGGCTGTTACCTGACAGGTAACATTGCGAGTGATCCGCTTATATTCCTCATTGGCCAGCTGTATCTTGATCTTCTCTAGCCGGGCAACCAGTTCAGGGTTCTGAAGCGGAGAGACCAAATGAGAAGAATGACACTCCTAGCTTACTAGAAAGTATGCCACTATCATTGGTTTCCAGCAGCGAGGCACTGCTGAGAGCGCCAGGAGACCCATACACCAGCTACATCTCCACTGCTTTGGGAACTGTTTTTTGGGATCTCAGTTTTCCCAGCTGTCAGAGAGAGGGCAATATCTGGTTCCTCCATTCCAGATCCCAAAAACTTAAAAGGAAAATTTTGGAACCCGAAAGTTGATTCATAAATTCAAGGTATCAAGAGAAAGTTCAACTGAGCCAATACCCACTCTCACAAACATATGCCTTACATACCCGGGGAGGCTTCACAACCTCTGGGAGGTAGATCTCACTGCCTTCCAGGAGCTCATGCAGGTACAGTGTGGCACCTGGGAAGAAAAGGTTTTCACACAGTGATCCTCAGAGCTGGGTGGAAGGATCAAGGTCAGAGAAGAGTGTAGCTTTTCCACCAAAACAAAGCACGATCAGCTCTGGATCGAGCCATCCCCAGGGTCATTTCCAACAGGATCTACAAAATTCCACCTAAATATACCCTAGAATTCCATGCCCACTTCAACTGTCAGCGCTCACTTATCCTGCACCTGTTACAACTTACACATAAGTCATTTACATTTCCCCATGGGTTACCTTATTTTGTGGCTACACCTTACACAGTTTGGCTCACAGTGATGCTAAACATTCAGAGGGCATCATGTTAGTTCATCTCTTCCTAAGGTCCTTTTTAGTTTGAATAGTTGAAAAGCTTACCCTTTGTACTTCTGGCTAGGCTATGTTAATTCTAGCAAAAGACTTTACATGCCAGCTTGTCTTGTCTCTCTACAGATAACCAAACTAAGGTCGAGGGAGGAGAAATGAGCTGGAAACACAACTCAGATGCTTCTCCCAGTTCGCATCTTTTAACACAACTTTCCTCATTCTATCTTAAAAAAAAAAAAAAATCAGATGTCAGATTTACCATCTTGTATTTGAGATGGGAAGAAATACGGATTCCTAAATAGGACAGGCTCACCGGGCTAAGCTTGGTTTTAAAGTGGAGAAAAGGGGAGGGAGTGGACTGAGCCTAAAAAACGGTACCGGCTTATAACTTGGACTTCCTCAAGAGTTCGGAAGGTACCGGAATGCCTGTAAAAGGAGACTCTCAAGAGAGCAGAAAACGAACAAAATCTGTCATTCACAAGTTATTCCCATGGGAGTTGAGTAGGAAGTGGGTGGCGCTAGGGTTTCACAAGACTCTTGGGTTGGTTAGATGAGAGTTCCGCAGGCGAAAAAGAGGGATGGAAAAAGACGTCTGAAGGGGGTCCACCTGGAAACAGGGTGCGAACCCGGACTGTGGCTCACCCCTTTCTCTCAGGTGCTGATGCAGATCCCGGATCAGACGGAAGGAAACCAAGCGTCGGGGGCTACCGGGGCTATCACCGCCCGGGTACTTGTTGTTCAGCACGGCCTCAACCTCGGCCCGCAGCTTCCGGGGCAGCTTCTCCGGCTCCAGTTCCCCGCCGGGGCCCAAAGCGCGCATCAGTCGCTCTCCCGCAAGCAAGGAAGACGCCATATCTAGTTGACTGTCCGGTCAGGTGACCCCACGCGGGACTTCCTCCCGCCGTGCGCCGGAAGTAGCTGGGAGCTCGTGCGACGGGGCAGGGCGGAGGGCCAAGAGGGCGGGGCCGGGCGCGGGGCAGTGTGGGGCGGGGGCGGGACGCCGCCCGGCCGCAGGTCGGGCCCTGTGTCAGCTGCCGAGCGGGCGCTCGGGCGGGAGATGGCGGGTTGTGCAGCCCGGCGGGCCCTGGCCGTGGGCAGCCGCTGGTGGTCCCGGTCGCTGACCGGGGCCCGCGGACCGAGGCCGCTCTGCGCGGCGTGGGGAGCAGGGGCTTTCCTTCCTGCGGCGACCACGACGACGCGGAGGCATCTCTCGTCCCGGTGAGGGACTGAGGGAAGGGGCGCGGGTGGTCGGGCCCGGAGCCGAGGGAGCGTGTTCTCGGCCAGTGAGGAGGCTCGGAGGCCGGGCCTGCTGACGGCGACGGGAGTTTGACGTGGGAGAGGGTTCTGAGCGGGGAGCCGACCTGCGTTGCCTGGGACCGTGCCAGCAGCGGAGACGGGAGTGCGGCCCGGGAGCGCTGGCCGTGCGGGCTGGCTCTGGGGGGAACTAGTCACTCTCCCCCGCGGCGAAGCCTGCCTCCCGGCCGCGGGCAGCCTTCTAGGTCCATCCCTGGGGCTGTGAGCTTGAATCCCCAGCCCGCGGATGAGGCACGTTTCCCTGAGACCGGAGCTTGGGGGTGGGAAACAGGACTCCGCGTGGGCCCTCCTGGGTCCCAAGTTTTAGGATGACCTTGGTGAGACCGGTTTTCTCTCTGTGACTCGGGGAAAGAGGGCTTGAGGCCCCGAGGTTGGGGTGGGCCATACCTCCGGGGGTGGGCCATACCTCCGGGGATGGGACAGGCAGACCCTGGATCATCTGGGACGGAGCGCCAAGTTCACATCTCCAAGATAGTAGCCCTGACAGTGCTTTGAAGGACTCCTAGAAAGAGCAGCCCTGCTGGAGAGGTGGCTGCCAAAGCTGACCTTCCCGGGGCTGAGATCAGGCACTGATGCTGGTGAGAGGGAACAGCTTGCTGCAGGGTAAGATCCCTGTGAAAACTGATGTGAACCTGAACAACCACTCTCTCTCTCTATATGAAGATTTATTTATTTGAGGGGCAGAGTCACAGAGAGAGATGGAGAGATACGGAGGGGTCTTCCATCTGCTGGTCCACTTCGCAGATGGCCATGTGGCCGAAGCTGGGTGGGTCCGAAGCCAGGAGCTTCTCCTGGGTCTCCCACATGGATGCAGAGGTCCAAGGACCTGGGGCATCCTCTGCTGCCTTCCCAGGTACATTAGCTGGGAGCTAGATTGGAAGTGGAGCAGCTGGGACTTGAACCCAGCGGCCATATGGGATGCTGGTGTCACAGGTAGCAGCATTACTAAGCCATGCTGGTCCCATTTTTTTTTTATTTTTAAATATTTATTTATTTATTTGAAAGTTAGAGGCACAGAAAGAGACAGATCTTCCATCCACTGGCTTACTCCCCAGATGGCCGCAGTGGCCAGAGCTAAGCCAGGCCGAAGCCAGGAGCTTCTTCTGCATCTCCCAAATGGGGGGCAGGGGCCCAAACACTTGAGCTATCTTCCACTGCTTTCCCAGGCCACTAGCAGGATCATAAGTGGAACAGCCGGGACACAAACCAGTGCCCATAGGGGATGCCAGCCTTGCAGGCAGTGTGGCTTTACCCACCACACCGCAACACTGGCCCCTGAACAAAAACGGTCTTGAGAGACCATAGTACTGGGTATAATATGGGGAATATGGTACAAATTTTAAGGATCATTTAGCCCTTCAAGGGCAAGGTAAGAACTGCCATTTACTTAGGGTGGGGAACTTGGAATTAAAATACAGAACAAGTGGTTTTTGAGTACCTGTTCAATACACTAACCCCTGAGGGGCAGTACAAGCTAATCCGAAAAATCCCAGGGACCTTAGCGTCTGATGGACACACACAACTGGAATGCAAGGTGGGAAGGACAGTTAACATGCTTAGGGGCCTGGGAGGGTAGGCATAGGGTCCATTTAAGCAACATCTGAGGGCGTGAGAGGAGTGCTGAGTGAAGACAGAAGGAAGTGACCTCGGGCAGTCACTGCTAACTCTGGAGATTGGTCAGGCTTTCCCCGAAAGAGGGGCCAGGGGCTGGACTTCAAGAGGAAAGGCAGTAGCACTTCGGTGTGGTGGCTTGAGAGGGCTGCCCGGGGCTTCAGCTGGTCCCATGGTCACAGCCTTTCTCTGCTGGGATGGCCCTGATTTCTCAGTATCCTGGTGGCTTTTTCTGATGAATAAATATCATTTCCTTTTCAGCTTTTTAAGTTACTTGTTCTTTCCTTTTCAGAAACCGAGCAGAGGGCAAAGTGCTGGAAACAGTCGGTGTGTTTGAGGTGCCAAAGCAGAATGGAAAGTATGAGACTGGGCAGGTGAGTGTGCAGCTGGCTGGGTCGTCTTCCTTGGTCGTGTAGTGTGCTGCTTCTGAACAGAGGCAGATTTGGCCGCAGGCCTGAATGATATGGTTTTCTATAATTCCATCTTGGTATTTGTTGCCAGACCTGAATCACAACTTGCATTTAAAAAAATTTATTTGTGTGAGAGAGCTACAACTAGTTCAACTCCCCATATTCCCACAGTGGCTGGTGCTGAGGTACTGGGCCGGGGATGAAGCCAGGAGTCAGGAACTCAATCCGGGTTTCCCACATGAGTGACAGGACCCAGCTGACTTATCACTGCTGCCTCCCAGGGTTTGCATTAGCAGGAGACTAGCATTAAGAGCAGAGCCAGGAGGACCGGCGCTGTGCCATAGTGGGCTAAGCCTCCACCTGCAGCACTGGAATCCCATACGGGCACCAGTTCATGTCCTGGCTGCTCCTCTGCCAACCCAGCTCTCTGCTATGGCCTGGGAAAGCAGTGGAAGATGGCTCAAGTCCTTGGGCCCCTGCACCTGTGTGAGAGACCCAGAGGAAGCTCCTGGCTCCTGGCTTTGGATTGGCCCAGCTCTGGCTGTTGCGGCCATCTGGGTAGAGAACCAGCAGATGGAAGACCTTTTCTGTCTCTCTGTAACTATTTCTCTCAAATAAATAAATAAATAAATATCTTTAAAAAAATGCGCAGAGCTGGGAATTGAATCCAGGTACTCCAGTGTAGGATGTGGTTATATTACAACTGCTGGGGGAGTTTTCCTGGGTTGGAATGTATTTAATATGTCCATGGGTTCTCTTAGTGTGGACTGGGATGTGTGTCTCTAGTGAGGAGAAACGAAGCTGCTGAAGATTCCTCTAGCTGGTGGCTGGTGGGAAGCCCACAGAGGGAACTTTGAAAAAAGCAAGCCTGTCTAATCCTCCGCCTTGCGGCGCCGGCACACCGGGTTCTAGTCCCAGTCGGGGCGCCAGATTCTGTCCCGGTTGCCCCTCTTCCAGGCCAGCTCTCTGCTGTGGCCAGGGAGTGCAGTGGAGGATGGCCCAGGTGCTTGGGCCCTGCACCCCATGGGAGACCAGGAGAAGCACCTGGCTCCTGCCTTCGGATCAGCGCGGTGCGCCGGCTGCAGCGCGCCAGCCGTGGCGGCCATTGGAGGGTGAACCAATGGCAAAAGGAAGACCTTTCTGTCTCTCTCTCTCACTCTCCACTCTGCCTGTTAAAAAAAAAAAAAAAAAAAAAAAAAAAGCAGGCCTGTAATGCTTTTTCACCCTGATTACTGTAAACTCTGGGTGAGGGGCTCTGCTGTATCAGTTTTGTTTCAGGTCCACTGAGATGGATGTAGACTCCTTGCAAGTAAAGACGACTTTCTGTTAGTTCAGCAGTTTGTTTTGAATGTGACTAAAATGGGCCAGGCATTGCGCATTAGGATTAAATCAGAAAGCAAAGCACACGTGGTTCCTGCCTTCCTGTGGTTTGCAGTTGAGAAAGGCGTTAACGATATGCAAGTGGTCAGGGGCTTTCCATTGTGCTTAGGGGAGCCGGGGAAGGCTTCCTGCTGGCCTACGGCTGTGACCAGAAGGATGTGTGCAGTCAGCCGGGTGAAGGGCCTGAGTGTTCCAGAGCGCGTCTGCGTCTGGGTGGCTCACTGGCTGGCGCGGCCTCGTGCTGGAGTTGCTTGCACCTGTGTTGCAACCCCACGCAGTAGGGCTGCACCACAGACTGACGGAGGCCTCTCTCTCCTCCCAGCTTTTCCTTCACAGTGTTTTTGGCTACCGAGGCGTCGTCCTGTTTCCCTGGCAGGCCCGGCTCTATGACCGGGATGTGGCTTCTGCAGCTCCAGAAAAGTAAGTTGCCTTGTTACTGTGCCTCACTGTATTCTCAGGAGGCCTGATTCACAGCACGTGTACATGACTGGGGTCTCGGGAGAGAAGGCAGTATCCTCCTGGGCCGTAGAAACAGTCCCAGAGTACTTCTCTGGCACTAATACCCTTAGAGAAAAACGTTCTGAGTGTCAGGGACAGTCTTAAGGCAGAAGGGTCCCTCAGGCCTCCCCAGAGCACTCTTGACTACTGCCAGTTTCATCGTCAGTAACTCGTAGGGCACTTTGGGACCAGTCTTTATTTCTTGGTGTTCAGTGGAATCTTTCCCCCAATTTCACATAGTCACTAGGATATTCTAAAAAAAAAGAAAAGGTCCAGGGCCAGCGTTGTGGTAAAGTGGGTAAAGCCATCCATTGCCTGAGATGCTGGCATCCCATATGGACACTGGTTCAAGTCCTGGCTGCTCCACTTCAAAGCCAGCTCTCCCTGCTAATTGCCTGGCAAGGCAGCAGAAGGTGGTTCAAGTACTTGAGCCCCTGCCACCCATATGGGAGACTTGGAAGAAACTCCTGGCTTCAGCCTGACCCAGCTGGAGCCATTGTGGCCATTCAGGAAGGAACCAGCAGGTGGAAGCACTCTTTCTGTCTGTTTCTATCTCTGTATAACTCTGACTTTCAAATACATAACAGATCTTTAAAAAAGAAGAAAAGTCCAGTGCTTATGGTGTGGGAAGGGTAGGGTACCTCGTGCCACAGTGCCTGGGGTGTGGGAAGGGTAGGGTACCTCGTGCGACAGGGCCTGGGGTGTGGGAAGGGTAGGGTACCTCGTGCGACAGGGCCTGGGGTATGGGAAGGGTAGGGTACCTCGTGTGACAGTGCCTGGGGTGTGGGAAGGGTAGGGTACCTCGTGCGACAGTGCCTGGGGTGTGGGAAGGGCAGGGTACCTCGTGCGACAGGGCCTGGGGTGTGGGAAGGGCAGGGTACCTCGTGTGACAGTGCCTGGGGTGTGGGAAGGGCAGGGTACCTCGTGTGACAGTGCCTGGGGTGTGGGAAGGGTAGGGTACCTCGTGTGACAGTGCCTGGGGTGTGGGAAGGGCAGGGTACCTCGTGTGACAGTGCCTGGGGTGTGGGAAGGGTAGGGTACCTCGTGCGACAGTGCCTGGGGTGTGGGAAGGGCAGGGTAGCTGGATTTTCCCAGTGTGGTCTCCTACTCCATCTGGGAAGACAGAAGATGACGCCATGTTGTGGGTCCTCCAGGTCCCATTGTTTGCCACTGACTGGGGAGTGGCGGGACAGGTGCTGCAGTTCCAGCTGATCAGAGAGCCTGTTTAGGCGAGGAGGTGGTAGGGAGCTGAGGTAGGTACAGTTTCTATTTCTCTTCAGGTGAACTTGATCATCTTCTCCTACCCCACAGAGCAGAGAACCCTGCCAGCCACGGCTCTAAGGAGGTGAAAGGCAAAACTCACACTTACTACCAGGTGCTGATTGATGCCCGCGACTGTCCACATATAGTAAGTAAGCAAGGGGGCTGGCCTGAGGGTCCTCTCTGGGAAAAGCCTGCACCCCAGTGGGGACAAAGGGAGAGAGAGTGGTCAAATGAGGCCCAGATCAGCCCCGCCCCAAGGCATCAGGATGGGTCAGTAGCCATGAAAGCTGCTGACTCACCCCTTGCCTTAGTCTCAGAGATCTCAGACAGAAGCTGTGACCTTCTTGGCTAACCATGATGACAGCCGGGCCCTGTATGCCATCCCAGGTGAGAAGATAGCTTCCGAATGGTGCCTGTGAGGAGGGGTCTGGTGAGTCAGGGAGGGGATTTTGCTGTCCTGCTGTGTGCTGGGAGGGCTCGTGATGCTGACAGATGGGCTGCAGGGTTGTCTCTCAGCTTTCTCCTCTCTTCTCCTGTGTGCATTTCACTCTCTCTGCCTCTCTGTGCCAGGCCTGGACTATGTCAGCCATGAGGACATCCTCCCCTACACCTCCACCGATCAGGTTCCCATCCAGCACGAGCTCTTTGAGAGGTTTCTTCTGTATGACCAGACGAAAGGTACTATCTCAGGAGGGGAGGCTGAAATGGGAGGGCCCCTTCTTCAGGGAGCGAGGTGTAGAAATGTTTCCAGAGCTTTATTTCCATGGCCCTTTCAGCCTCGCATGAGACCTGTCGGGAAAATGGCGGTTACCTCCTTGCCCACAGGGAAGCTGAGACAGATGGCTAGCATGTTTTCCTGTTAGGGAGCTGAAGCTCGGGGCTGGTGAGAAGTGACTGAAGGGCGCTAGTTAGCAGCAGCATGAGGTCTCAAACCAGGGCTCGTAGCTCCCGTACCAGTTACCTTCCGTGATGTGCTGCCGTCTCTGGACTTAGTCTTGGCACCAGGTCTGTGCCTTCCTCCAGCAGTGTTCTTGCTTCACGGGCGTGTGTCCTGTTCACCTCTGCACCCTCAGAAGGGGTCTCTAGAAGGGGCAGTTGGAGAGTGGGTGCAGTGCCCTGTCTTCACCAGTCATCTCTTGTCCCAGCGCCTCCTTTTGTGGCTCGGGAGACACTGCGGGCCTGGCAAGAGAAGAATCACCCGTGGCTGGAGCTTTCCGATGTCCACCGGGAAACCACTGAGAACATCCGTGTCACTGTCATCCCCTTCTACATGGGCATGAGGGTATGAGTCGAGCCTGTGCTCTCCCCTGCAGGGCTGGGCCCCAGATTCCATGTGCTGTTCCCAGTGTTGCCACTGGTGGCGTCTTTCTAAACGTGGGCCTTGCTCCTAGGCTTCTGCTGGCAGGGTGGGGAGGGAGGGCTTGAGTAGCCTCCGGGCAGCGCTGACACCAAGACCTAGAGAGGAAACCTGCAGGTCCTGGGTAGGCGTCCTGGTGCTGCCTGGCATAGAAGGAGCATGGCTGTGAAGAATGTACACGTGCTTGTTAAGTTACAGAGATCTGCCTCTCTGTAACTCTGCCTTTCAAATAAATAAATACATCTTTAAAAAAAGTCAGAGTTACACAGAGAGAGGAGAGGCAGAGAGAGAGAGGTCTTCTGTCCGATGGTTCACTCCCCAGTTGGCCGCAATGGCTGGAGCTGCGCCAATCCAAAGCCAGGAGCCAGGAGTTTCTTCCGGGTCTCCCATGCAGGTGCAGGGGCCTAAGAACTTGGGCCATCTTCTGTTGCTTTCCCAGGCCATAGCAGAGAGCTGGATTGGAAGTGGAGCAGCCGGGACTTGAACCGGTGGCCATATAGGATGCTGGCACTTCAAGCGCCACAGTGCCGGCTCAGTAAATCTTTTTTTTTTTTTTTTTTAATTTTTTTGACAGGCAGAGTGGACAGTGAGAGAGACAGAGAGAAAGGTCTTCCTTTGCCGTTGGTTCACTCTCCAATGGCCACCACGGCCGGCGCGCTGTGGCTGGTGCACCGCGCTGATCCGAAGGCAGGAGCCAGGTGCTTCTCCTGGTCACCCATGGGGTGCAGGGCCCAAGCACTTGGGCCATCCTCCACTGCCTTCCCGGGCCACAGCAGAGAGCTGTCCTGGAAGAGGGGCAACTGGGACAGAATCTGGCGCCCCGACCGGGACTAGAACCTGGTGTGCCGGCACCGCAGGTGGAGGATTAGCCTAGTGAGCTGCGGCGTCAGCCAAGCTCCATAAATCTTTAAAAAAAATATCAGTACAGGCTGATCCTTACACTTTTCATACAGTAGCCAAACATCTGTTGAGTTTTGTTTTTTTTTTTTTTTTAAGATTATTTGAAAGGCAGAGTTAGAGAAAGAGAGAGATTGATCAAACTTCCATCTGCTGGTTCACTCCCCAAGTGCCGCAACAAGCAGAGCTGGGCCAATCTGAAGCCAGGAGCCAGGCACTTCTTTTGGGTCTCCCATGTGAGTGCAGGGGCCCAAGCACTTGGACCATCTTCTGCTTTCCTAGAGCTGACTCGGAAGTGGAACAGCCAGGACATATGGGATGCCAGTGGTGCAGGCAGTGGCTCTGAGCTGTTTCTTGCCTGGCTGTAAGCTAGGCCCTTCCAGAAGCTCATGGTTGTGGGGGAGTCCAACCTAGAAGCTGCAGTGAATCGCAGTAGGGAGGCCTGCGGGAGGACAGTGGCCCAGGCAGCAGTGGTGAAGGCAGCGCTGGCCAGGATGGTGGTGAGGAAAGTCAGCCCTGCAGCTGATCTGCCCTGGCATCCAGCCCTGTGGCAGTCTGGACGGGAGGAGTGGAGCAAGGCCAGAAGTGATGACAGCGGAGGCTGCCAGAACTTCCTGTGGGCTGTGGAGCGCAGTTCAGTCAGCCTCATCAGACTCAGCCCACAGACACTCGCAGCTGCTCTGCCACTGCCGCGTTCCTGGAATGCTTCTCCGTGGGAGAGAGGTTCATGTTCATTGGGATGGGATTGTTTTGCCCTTTGGGACTTGACTTTGTGTGTTTTTCCCCCAGGAAGCCCAGAATTCCCATGTCTACTGGGTGAGTGTGCCCCTTGGGAACAGGGGAGCTCGGCATGGGCCCGGGGTCAGGTGGGGAGGTAGGGGTGTTCTCCTGGCAGGGTGGAGCCTGTGCAGTGCAGCAGTCAGCTTTCGTTGACTTTGGCTTTCCACAGAATTCTGGGTGGGGTGGCTAGCCCAAGATCTGTTCTTTCTCAAAATGCACTCTGTCGCCCGTGCCTTGCAGTGGCGCTACTGCATCCGCTTGGAGAACCTCGACAGTGACGTCGTGCAGCTCCGGGAGCGGCACTGGAGGATATTCAGCCTCTCTGGCACCTTGGAAACAGTGCGAGGCCGAGGAGTGGTGGGCAGGGTGAGCGTCACCGGACCAGTCCTGGTTCTTGCTAGCAGGCCTGGGACTTAGCGTGTGATTTCTCTTCTCTAGTTATAGACAGAAGCTCACTTTGGACTTGTTGGATTGTTTTGGGTTAGAAATTTTATAATTACCTCTTTCGATAGGGTTCTTATGACCTATTTCATAGATAAAGAGAGTGAGATTGAAAAGTCAAATAACTAGCCTGTAACTAATGGTGGTAAGGCCTGGATTTATTTATTTTTAAAGTATTTATTTTCATTTACTTGGAAGGAAGAGAAGGACAGAGACACACAGAGATCTGCTGGTTTACTCCCCAAATGCACACAACAGCTAGGGGTGGATCAGGTTGAAGGCAGGAACTTGGAAATCCATCTAGATCTCCTGTGTGGGTGGCAGGGACCCAAGCACTCTCACTGTTGTCTGCTGCCTCTTAGGATGTATTAGGAAGCTGGATCAGAAGCAAAGTAGCTGGAACTTGTACCAGCACTCTTTTTTTTTTTCTAAGTCCATCGTGGGTATACAGGCAGAGTGGACAGTGAGAGAGAGACAGAGAGAAAGGTCTTCCTTTTTCCATTGGTTCACCCCCGCAATGGCCACTGTGGCCAGTGCACCGCACTGATCTGAAGCCTGGAGCCAGGTGCTTCTCCTGGTCTCCCATGCGGGTGCAGGGCCCAAGCACTTGGGCCATCCTCCACTGCACTCCCAGGCCACAGCAGAGAGCTGGACAGGAAGAGGAGCGACTGGGACATAATCCGGCACCCTGACTGGGACTAGAACCTGGTGTGCTGGTGCTACAGGCGGAGGATTAGCCTAGTGAGCCGTGGCGCCGGCCCGTACCAGCACTCTTTTGTGGGATGGGGGTGTTCCAAGCGACAACTTAACTCCTGCTCCATAACGCCCATCCCAAGACCTGGATTTAGATCCAAGTGAGTCTGAAGTCAAAGTTTGTATGGCTTTTGTTGACTTGCATAATGTCTTTCAAAAACCTGACATTTGGGAAGGGCACTGGTGCAGTGGTTAAGACACTGCTTGGGAATGCCCACATCCCGTGTTGTAGAGCCTGGGCTTGAGTCCCAGCTTCACTTCTGATTCCAGCTTCCTGCTGTCGCACACCGTGGGAGGCAGCAGGCAGTGGTCTCAGTACTTGGGTCCCTGACACCCACGTGGGAGATCTGGATTGGGTTCCAGGCTCCTAGCTTCAGCCTGCCCTAGCAGTTTGGGGAATGAATTAGAGCATCATCTGTCTTTGTCTCTCTGCCTTTCAAATACAATGAACAAGAAGTAAACTTTTTTTTTTTTTCCCCAGAAGACCCCAAATTTTGGAGTGGGCATTTGACCTGGCAGTTAGGATCCTAATTGGGGTACTCTTCTGGACTGAGTTTCCAGATTCTAGCTTCAGCTTGGGTCAGCCCCAGCTGCTGCAGGCACTTGGGTAGTAAACCAGCAGGTGAGAGATGTGTCCCTTCTTCTCTCCCTTTTGAATGAATAAAACAAATAAAAACATAACAAAAGATACCTGAAACTGAATTCTCTTAGGTGGGGCAAGCACCTCCCATCACTCTAGGTTGTCTTGTCTCTTGCCTATTTATCCATGTGTATCTCCTAATCCCTGGAGAGATTTGGTTTTGCAAACCCTGCCTACCCTACCTTGTCTCCTGAGAAAGTCAGAAGTGGCATTGGTGCCAGAGGCCACACATGCCGTACTCATTTATTAAGTCAGCAGGCACTTGGGGAAGCAGGGTAGTAAAGTGAATCAGAGCAGGGCTGTGGAATTAGTCTAGCCTGAAATTTCAGCTGTGTTACTTACTGCATAATTTTGGGCATGTTGTTTTACCAAAGTCTCAGCTTCTTACTGCTGAAGTGGGGACCACGCCTATTAGCCTATGATCTCTGGAAGAACTAAATCCGTAAAGGTTTGCAGACTACCTGCCAGAGTGCTTAGCGCTTAGCACTCAAAAGTGGACACTGGAAGGGGTAGTTCCAGAGTAGGTCCTTGGTCCAGTGTCCTCAGACATTCAGCCTGAGATTCTCTTCCAAAGAATCAGAATAAAAGGCCCAGGTCGGTGGCTGTGCTGTGGGAGGGGGTCCTGGCAGGTTATCAGTGTGGGGGGAGCATGCAATCCTGATGAACTGGCAGTCAGGAGCATGTCCCTGGGTGTGGCCTAACCCATTTGCCTGCACCCTCACAGGAACCAGTGTTATCCAAGGAGCAGCCCGCATTCCAGTACAGCAGCCACGTCTCCCTGCAAGCTTCTAGTGGGCACATGTGGTGAGTGAGCCTGTGCTGGGGCAGGGGCTCTTGCAGTCCAGTCACAGCTTCAGGTCTGAGGAGCGACCTCAGTTTGCAGTTAATGCTGGCCAGGTTCAGTCCCGAGATGGAGCCCTGTCTGCCGTTCACTATTGTGTGGACTGCCTATGTGCCAGTTTTTTAAGATGTGTGGGCTGAGGTCCAGTGGTTTGATGCTACACTGAGTTGCTGAAGCCCGGTGTTTCACTACTGAACCTGAAGATGCAGTTGGGTGGCTTTGAGCAGTGTGCCTGGAAGGGCCAGAATCTGGACAGCTGTGCTTTTTGTGTGGGGCCAAGGAAGGCTCCTGGATCTCTGGATCAGCCAGCCTCCCGTGAGTTAGACAGGAGAGCACAGCCCACCTCATGCTGTGGCTGCGGAGCTCAGTGTGTGGGGCTCAGGAGGGCCTCAACTCTGATTCCCCTCAACCTGCTTCTCTGACCACAGGGGCACGTTCCGCTTTGAGAGACCTGATGGCTCCCACTTTGATGTCCGGATCCCACCCTTCTCCCTGGAAAGCAATAAAGACGAGAAGACACCACCCTCAGGCCTTCACTGGTAGGCCAGCTGAGGCCCTGAGAGCCCAGCTCGGCCCCAAAGAGGAACAGCCCTCATCCCACAGTTGCTGCAGAACTCTCTCCCTGTTGTAGGCCACACTGAGTCTCTTCATCTTTTGCACCATTTGATCGTGAGGTTCTTTTGGGGGATGCAATCGTTTTCTTCGGAAGACCCGTGTAGGACCCCTCCAAGGCTGGCCTTCTATTTATAAACCCTGCCTACACTGTGTTCCAGTAAACTTGTCCACCAAGGAACTGTGTTCAGCTGCCAGAGGCCTGGAGGAGTCTCCTGGCCGGTCAACAAGTTGTCTGGAACGTGAGGTTTGGTCAATAAACCAGTGCACGCTTGGCCACCCTCGCCGTTTCTGTCCCCAGGGGCCTCAGGCTCCCTCTCGCAGTGGGGGCCCTTGAGTACTTTCCATGCTGCCCTTCCAGGGAGCTGTGCCCTCTGCTAGGTTATGTCTCCTTCAGAGGCTGGCTGGTCATCTCCAGGGGCACTGTACCCCTCAGCTGGTGCGAGGGCGCTGAGCACGGACCTGGACTCTGTTCTTCACCTTCTGGCAAGTACAGAGAGGCTGGCCAGCATCAGGGCTGGAATGGTCGGCTCTTAACACTGACTACCCGCTGGCATCTCAGCCTCGCTGGGCCTGAGATAGTGAGGAAAGCCAGCAGTGTCTGTCCAGCCTCCAGGCCATAAATGTGGGGATTCAGCCAAGGAGCAGCTGTAGGCATGGACGGTAACTAAGCCAAGCTACTTCCCAAGCTTCCCCAGGGAGTTGTGCTGCATTTTGCCCTGATTCTTAGAAGTCCTCTGCAATGATTGTTAAAGATAGTTTTAATCTTGAATTATATTAAATCGGTTCTAGCCCTTGCTAGTGTTGTCCTCAATCCTCCACCAGGGGGAGCCTGGGTTGCAGGGCAAGAGTAAGGGGGGGGCGCTCTGGACCAGCTGGAATAACACTTGGTCCCATCCTGAGCAGACATACAAGCACTAAGCCCACAGCAAGCTGGTCAAACTCTCCGCACTGTAAAAACAACACTCAGTACCACTCCAGTGCAACAGTTTTATTAGAAATTAGTGTTTGCTTCCATCACTTTACGCTGAGCAAGAAGGTATCACAGCTATGTGGCAAAGAGGAAATTCTCTCCTGCCAGCACTGCACCATCCTTCAGGCAGACCTGGGTCACACGGCACATGCAGTAAAACCTGGTACTGTCTGTGTTCATAGCAGACTTCCAGTTTCTCAGAAACTGACAGGGTTAGACCTACATCCATGCTGTTGTCAGCTTCCCCCTGGGCTGCTTGCAGTTGGAAATGCACACAACCAAGGGCTGCTTCCTGAACGGGGTTGGGAAACTTGAAGAAAATTCCCCAAGATCCTCAAACCGTAAATCCTGATTAAAGAAGCTAAGCTCACTCCACTGAGCCCAGTGCTAGCTGTTTTCCTTAAGACCAAACGTTTCCAGAGGGAGAAGACAAGTGCCCTTCCCGACTAGTGTTTTCCTGGTCACCAGCGAGAGGGCTGAGGATGAGCGGCAGCGGAAGTAGAGGCTGCGGGGGTTGGGGAGGTCACAGGATAAGCATGAGAACACCTCTGTGGGGAGCTGGGAACTTCAGTATTAAAGGGCAGCTGAGAAAACAGGCCAGAGGCCTCCTGCAGCAGCATTCCTGTGCCTGTGGGAAAGCCACAGAGCCAGAGCCTGAATTGGGACAAAGAAATGGATGTATCTTACTACTCCAGTGAGGGCTGGAAGCACTAGTCACTGATCCTCACGGTGCATGACCTGAGGACTCTTAGAGCTATTTTACATTCAAGACTGTGTCTAACACATGAAATGCCTCATCAGTCACATTTCCCCGTCCCATCGTGTCATTTCAGGTCCTTGGGAGTGTCCAACTTGGGCCCGGCACTTGCCCGTAGGTTCCATGGAGTCAGCCGTGAGCAGCCACCTCACTGTGTCAGAGTAGTCAAGAGGGACGACCTTGAGAGCCTGCGCTGGTGCCCAGGAGAGCGGGTACTGTACACGGCTGTGCTGCTGTTAGGCTGGCAGCTCCCTCCCGACAGCATTCCTTTGTAGAGGAATTTAGATAAGCTGTTTCCCAAGGGCCAAGCCAAACAGAAGGGGGTGGGAACCAAAGTCTTGAAGAGCTCACGCTCTGGCCGGTGCTTGGCATCTCTGGTTAAATTACCAAAGGAGGAATGAAGGCATTCAGGGAGCTTGGGTTGCTTCCCTCATCTTGTGTCCTGGGACTCACCCCTGAGCAGAACTACCACCCTCAGCTGGGACACAAACCAATAGCATGGGTCATGGAGGAGCAGGTGGATCACCAAGCACCTGATACCTCTACACAGGGGTTGCTGGGCCCATGGGATTGCTGTGGCTTGTGCTTCTGGCCTGGAGTTGGTCCTAGCCTGTCACAGCGCTTGGCTCTACTGTGTGAGGACAGCATGCCGTGGAGCTGAAGGCACCTCACAAAAAGCAATCACTTCTGAGCCTACGAGTCAGTGGGAGGTAAAAATGTCTTTCCTCTCAGGGCTGCTGTGAGGACCAGTGGTCCCAGTTACGCATCCTTCCCTCCAGCGTGCTCTTTGGGCCAGGCTGGCCAAGCCAGAGCTTGTCAGTTGGCTTTATTGCTTTGTCTCCCCTCCCCCAGGTTGATTCTGCAGGGAAGAGGGGGTTAGGGTCAGAAGAAGACGTGGGTCAGGGCAGAATATAAATCTCCTGAATAACAGTACAAAGTGCTTCAGAGAAACCGATCCCGACAGCATCAGGAAGGGCCATGGGTTCTGTCTTACCCAGGGTCTTGGCACCCTGGAAGGGAGCAAAGGTCCAGTCCCTCCTTGCTAGTTTAAAACCGTCATTTCCTAAACGAAGTCTTAAAAACCAAACTCATCAAGCCTGCTTAAATGCCTTAGGAAAAAGGAAGATCCCACCTTCGCTAAAAAAATAAACCCAGGCCTCCAGAGCACCAGAAGCTGCCCCCCCCCGACCCCCCTCCCCAGGGGTCCTAGCAGAGGAAAGGGGCGCTCAGCAAAGCGCTGAGGGGACTGTTCCTGGGAGGGGGGGAGCCAGTGCGTCCTCCCGAGCAGAAGTGGCTCCCTATTGGGCAGGAGCAGGGACAGGGAGGCGGGGCAAAGGAATGGGGTTCCCCGACTCCTGGTCCAGGCTCTCTGACCTCCCAGGCAAGGCCTGACATGGCGCCAGAGCAGAGATCCAGCCAGCAGCAGTGTGGGGTGGCAGAGGGGGTGGGGTTCCCCAGAAGGGAAGGCAGGGCCTCCCCACGGGCCTTGTCAGTCGCGGTGGGCAGACTGGTGGCCAAGCTGCCGGTCGTCGTAAGTGCTATAGCGCTTGACGTGGATGCGGCGCACGCGGTCCCGCAGTTCAAAGGTCTCCTCATCTTCACTCGGGGAAGCCTGGCTGCGGCTCCGGCTTGTGGCCTCCAACAAGGAGTTGTCAGGGACGCGGGGGCTCTCATAGAGTAGGACATTGAGTGTCTCCTCGTAGATCCGGGCCTCTGGGAATTCCACCTGGGGATAAGAAGACGGAGGCATTGGCTTCGTGCTGGCTCCGTAAGGCCTCCTAACCCTTACAAGACAGGTAGCGTCTCAGGAGCAAGGCAGGGCTCCCTCTGCAGGAAGTGGAGGAGATGGACTCTGTTCGCCCTTCCCTGGCCCACCTTAATCCAAGGCTGAAGGCTAGTGTGCGTGGAGGGCGGGCCTAGAACTTACTGAGGCTGCACGGTGTGCTCATCAATGCCCTCTGCCTCTCCACTGTCAGGAACCAACGGTTCCCACTCCATCCCCCAGATCCCTTGTTCGCGCTCTGTCCTTGCCTGGCACCATCACAGTGTCGCAGGGAAATAGCCAAATGCATGAGCCTTTTGTTCCTTGCAGTGAAAGGCTAGGCTGGCGGCACTGGTTAGGTCCAAGCGGCCCTCCATCCCCGGCCACAGTTGACCGTGTCTTGCCCCACCCCGTGCAGAGGGAGGCCGCGTACCTTGGTCTGCTTCTTCTCCGTGGCGTAGACGATGGAGGTGCAGCACACCTCCGCCAGCTTGCGGCCCTGGCCGTAGAAGGACCAGCAGCAGATCTCGTCCCCGATGACGTCCTTGAGGAAGAGCACGCGGCCGTTGAAGCGCAGCGAGAGCTTGTCAAACAGCTCGATGTTTTTCAGCAGGTGGTCGTCAGAGTTGCTGAAAGAACCCGGGAGGGCCAGCAGGCCTGGGAGTGAGGTTCTGCCCACGGGAGGGGGCTGGGCAAGATGGGCCCTCTCCTCCCTCCCTGTCATGCTGAAATGACGCCCAGGCTAGGTCCAGGGGAGCAGGAAGGAAAGGGAGCACAGGTGCACTCTGGGTTTGCGGGCCTGTGAGGAGGAGGAGGAGCTGAGCAGAGAATGAGGGAGGGCGTCTCCTGTCCTCAAGCCCGGGTCAGTGACACTGCTTTTCTTGGTGGGGGCGGCAGTGGCATGTGTCTGTCCGCAGGGAGTACTTAGGAGCGGTGGGACTCTGAGCCTGCAGCCACTTGCTTGCTAAAAGGACAAGGGAAAAAGGCGGAGCAGCCTGGTGTGAGGCTGAGAGGCTGCGGGCGGCCTAGGGGCCCCTCCCGCTCCGTCCGACAGCCTGGCGCGCTGTGGGGCACGACGTGCTGCAGTGGCGCTCACGTTCCACCGTCCACAGCCCAGCAGGCCCTGTCCCACTTTCCCTTCCGCTCCCTATTCTCGCCCCCCTTACTTGAACCAGTTCTGAGGCCCAGAGCCACACCGTCAGTGCCATCCCCTGGCCCTCTTAGCGGCTCCCGCAGCGCTGCCCCAGGGACGGCCAGCCTACCTGGTGTAGGAGTATTTGTTGTTGCTTCTGTTGTACAGCAGCTTCACCACGGGCTGTGAGGGAGCAGGGAGTCAGGCCTGGCCGGGGGCCTGGGCTCCCTGCCGTAGCCCTCCGGGGCCCCAGTACCTTGGTGGAGGACTCGATGAGCCGCTCCTCCTCCTTCAGGGAGGTGATGATGGGAATGTTACACACAGGCTGGTAGGAGTCCTTCTTGTCCTGCGTGAGTGGCATACAGAGCACGGAACTCTTGGGATTTATGCTTGCCAGTCTGAGCCAAGTAACCCTGGAGCCCCTCTGCCATGGCATCCTCGGCTGGGTGAGGAGGCGTCTGACTGAGATCATGAGGGCCTTGGAGACAGGAACTGCTGGGCAGTAAGCAGACCCCCTTTCTGGAAGGCCTAAAACCCAGGTGGCTGGGCACATCAACAAACGAGGCCTCTCTGTACTGCTAAGGTGAGGCGCTGGGCGCCAGGTCGCTGGGCCTGGGCAGTGCCTCCTCTGCTACCTCCACCCAGGAGCTGGACCCTGAGATCCCTGAAGGAGGGGCAGTGCCCGGCTCAGCAGCTGCCTCCAGCCCTGCCACGTACCTGCAGGGCGGTCTGGCACATGTTCACCAGCCCCTGGATGAGGTAATATTTTGCTTCAGCCATCAATTCCTTGATTTCTTGCCGGTTTTGAGGGAGGGTGATGGTGTCATCTCGGAGGTAATTCAAAATGGTGCCAAAGTGCTTTCCACATCGATCTATGAGGATCCAGCCTAGGGATTCAGATGGGCCCCACAGGATTACTTCCTACCTCTCGGAACCCCAGAAGCCGGCAAAGGCTGCCTGACGAGCTAGCGGCCCGCAGCTCAGGGTGCTCAGGTCCACAGTGCTCTTCACCCTCCCTCACTGGACCCAAGAACTGGCACGGGGGCCAGCACAGACGCCTGCAGGCTCTTGGGAGCCCTCGGGCCTCTACTGGCAACACAGAAGCCATTGCTCCTTGCTTGCCTTCTGCCCACAGCCCAAGACTGGCGATGGCTCATGAAAATCTAGTCCTAGTTAAATATTTTAAAAGTACGGATCTTGTCTGTGGGAACCGTGACTATCCAGTATGATAGGTAATGATTTCAAAGAATTCGGAAGCTCTGCTGAGCACTGCAGGTGAAGAGGAAAGCAGTGTTCTGGACCTGCCGGGCTTCGGGATCTAGCCCTACCCCGGAGCTGTTTCCCTAGAACCGTCCTCCCCTCCCCACCCTCCCTGCCCTCGGGCCTCACCTTCTTTGTCCGTCAGCACCTCCATGCGCCCACTGAACATGGCCTTGAGCATGGTGTCGTGCCGGGTGAGAGCCCGCACCGTGGTGTAGTACAGGGAGCCACCCACATTGAGCTGCACGTACTTGTTGCCCAGCCCGCCTCCTTTGAAGCCGCTTAACTTGGGCTTGGCCCCCGAGGCTGGGCACAGACAGGTATCCCCCGACATCTCCCGCTGCAGGTAGATCACCACACGGCAGGAGGTAGGCTTGGAAGGCTCCGCCGTGGTGGAAGTGGTCACAGGTGAGTGGCCCGTGGAGGCCAGAACCTCATGCTCAGCCCTGTGAGTGGGAGGTGGGAGAGAAGATGGAAGTCAGAATAGAGGCCTTGGACCAGGAGGGGCAACCGCAGGGGCCCTGGCCACACTCATCGTCTCCGGAACAAGCCCAGCTGCTCGTCTCCGGAACAAGCCCAGCTGCTGAGGCGACATTTGGGCTTTCCTGCTGCTGTTCACCGCCCCAGAGACCAGCACAGGCTCCCAGAGCCCTGCCCGCCTCATCCTGCCAGGCTCCCTGGAATCAGCTCACCTCAGGTGGCAAGAAGACAAGCCAGCCCTAGGCCTGAGGAACAGCCCCTGCTGGGCATCTACCAGTCAGAATTCCATTTATTCTCTTAGGGTAACTAGGAACCCAGACTTCCAGCCAAACCTGCTGGGCATCAGCCAAACTAGGACCTTCCCAGGAGCCACAGGGACAGGGTGGACTTCCTTTCTAGAGATACCAGGTGCAGGAGCGTCCTGGGCCCGTGCTTGCTTTAGCGTCACCCGGAGTTTTGAAAGGAAAGTAAAAGCAGCTTCAGGAGACAATGGAGTGAGTCAGACTGGGGGACCTAGCCAGGGTCCTCGGCAGTGTCACCTAGGTTCCACTTGGGCTTCCTGACCGTCCCTTTTCTTGGCAATGCTCCAAGTTCCTGAAATTGTCACCACTGGCCAGGGCAGAACAAATACAGGACGTCTATTTTCACTTTTTCCTAAGTGGGAGCCCAGCCCTATCTCGTCCTCTCAAGCTTTCCACCAAGAATGAGGAGGCAGAACCAGAACATCAGATGACAGATCTGAAAGCAATTAAATGATGTATAAATTAAGTCTTTTTTTTTTTTTTTTTTTTTGACAGAGTGGATAGTGAGAGAGACAAAGAGAAAGGTCTTCCTTTGCCGTTGGTTCACCCTCCAATGGCCGCCGCGGCTGGTGCGCTGCGGCCGGTGCACCGCGCTGATCCGAAGGCAGGAGCCAGGTGCTTCTCCTGGTCTCCCATGGGGTGCAGGGCCCAAGGACTTGGGCCATCCTCCACTGTACTCCCTGGCCACAGCAGAGAGCTGGCCTGGAAGAGGGGCAACCGGGAAAGAATCCGGCACCCCGACCGGGACTAGAACCTGGTATGCCGGCGCCGCTAGGTGGAGGATTAGCCTAGTGAGCCGCGGTGCCAGCCATGATGTATAAATTAAAGCACTAACAGGAGCTCTCAGGCGGGAGGAGCGGAGGGAGCCACCCAGTCACCCTCGCGACTGCGAGTCCACATTATGCTTCTGGCTTCCTAGAGAAGCGCTAAAATTCATCTACTAAAGAGAATGTCATAGCTGACTCTTAAGGCGCGTTTTCATGTGCCACGCACTATTCTAGGCATTTAATGTATATTATTTAATTCATTTAGCAGTGAAACTACTGACTGCCAACCCTGTGAAACAGTAGGGAACAATGAAAAATACAGTCTTTGCTTTCAAGGAGTTCAATTAAGCATCCTCATGTTAATGAACTTAAAAAGGAAAATAGGAGTTGGCACTGACTCTGGTTCCGTGGCAGGCAGGCAGGCGGGTACTAGCTGGTGCCCAAGAGCTGGGGCTTTATTTCAAGTGCAGTGCAGTGCAGGCATCCACTGGAGGGTTCTAAGCAGGTGAGTGAGATAATCGCAACCATACTTCTGGGTGCTGTGTAGAGAATGGATTGTAAGGGTGCAGAGGCCGTGGGAGGACCAGAGGAAGCAGTAGTGCAGGCATAAAGTGGTGAAGACTTGGCGCACAGGGGGAACAGAGGCAGAGAAAAGGCAGAATCCTCTCCCTCCATGCTCACACGCGGGAGCTGACGGTGTGCCTCGCCAAGTGCAGCCCACAAATGGCACTGGTGTCCCCAGTTGTGCCGCTCCACTCCGCACGCGGTCTTTCTGCACACTGGCCTGCACTTTTATACATGGATTTCAAGATGTTTTCTCCACCAAAATAAGTTTTTCTTAATTTGACTTCCCACGAACCTTTTGAAGTCCATGGCAGTTCGTCAGATTGAAATTGTCCCTGAAAAGATTTAGGCAGGTCCCTGGGAAGAATGTCCCAAAAGGGCCAGAGTGGGTGTCCTGTGAAGTGATGAACTGTGCAGGCATGCGGTGTGGATGAGAAAAGCCCTCAACAGGAGTCTGCCGAGACCTCCACTGGGACAGCGGATGACCTAACCTCCCACCGACTCCAAACCAATCAGTCCACCCAGGAAAAGTTTTTAACAAGGTCAAAGAAAACACATGCATTTTCTTCCAAAGCAAAGGTACTGAAAGCCTGGGGTTTGCCAGGAGAGGAAGACAAATCCACAGCTAATCTATTCCTTTCCTGCAAAGCAACTGTTCCTGGCTGACGTCAGCTCAGATTCCATTCAGACCAATGAGTTCCAGGAATCCTGCGGCAGGTGCCGCCCCAGAAAGTAATTCCAGCGACAATGAAGTTTCCACTCAATACTCTTCCTTCCGGACTTTGTGGGTATTTGGGGATGCCTGGGGCTAGGGGCGGATCCATTTCCCACTCTGCGAACAAAAGGCAGACAACCAAAGCGGTGGACCGCGGTTGGATCCCAAAGGAAGAAGGATCTAGAAACCCGTCACGCACGGGGGGCCGGGGGCGGGTGGGTGTTGGGGAAGCCGTGAGCTGATCTTGGCTATAGAGGGTGGACCCAGCAGAAATCCTAGGTGTGAGGCTTAGGCTGCAAGGTCCTGGGGAAATTCGGCCACGGCCAGCCTCTCCCGTGGCCAGCGTAGGCTCTTGCCCAGCCCGCCCCCCTCACTACCAAGGAACCGAGACCAGCTCTGCATCTCCGCTGCGCCGTCCCACCCCTGCTTCCCAGGACCCGGCGGGCAGTCTTTGCTCCAGCCGAGGCCCGACTCTCACCGTCGCCGGGGGCTCCTCTCCTCTCAGCTGGGGGGCGAGCGAACTCCGTGCCGTCTCTGACCTGTGGCTGCCTGCCCGCCAGCAATCCCGAGCTGTGAGCTCACATCCTGCGCCGGTCGACTCCTCCCGGAGCAGCGGGCCATAAGCCTGAGACTACAAAGCCCGGCATGCACAGCACTCTAACAGGGAGGGGAGGCGGAAATTCCCGGAGGATCTTCCGGGCAAGAGCATAGCCACTTCCGGTAGCCCTGCAGGCGCAAAGGCCTCTGGATCTTGTAGGCAGTCATCCTTCCCTTCGGGCCTCTGTTTCCCAGCAGGCCCTGTAGGATGAACGGGTGTGAGTGCTTCCGGTGTCCGGAAGTGACGTTGTGGATAAACAGGTTTTGTAGCCGTGGCAGCGGCTGAGGAGAGGCGAGCCGGCCAGGCACTGACTGCTGCCCACCGCCGAGAGGAGCTGCCTGTCAACATCAGCCTGGGCCGCAGCGCACCACCGCCACGGGTGGGCAGGTAGGTCGTGACCTCGGGTCGGGGGCAGCTGGGTCTAGAGGAACTGGACAGACCCGCTGTTGAGGAAAGGCTGTTCCAGGCTGAAAGAAACTTAGGAATTCCGCCCGTCCCTTCGCGAGCGTTTCACACTCAGGTTGGGCCTGGAGCTTGAGCGTGGTCTTAGGAAGCGGGGACTCGTGTAAATCCAACGGGTTTGCGCAGTAAAGACAGTGTCAGGCCCTCCGGACTCAGCCTCGTGCTTCCTCCAACCCCAGGAACGGGGCCTGTGCCTGATGCCAAGCATGGATCGTGGTGAGGCGTTTCCGCCCTCACCCCGGCGCTCCGCCGCGTGTAGTGGGAATTGGGATGGAATCTGATGGGCAGCTGGGAAGCCTCTCCTTCAACCCTTCTCCCGTCTCAGGTGACTCATTCAGCTACCCCTCCCAGGTGCAAGGGATTCATGCCCGACCGCTTCACTCATCCCCTCCTCCAGTCAAGCCCCTCTAAGTCCTAGCAAATCGACTTACAGAAACATCTCAACCCAGAACGCCGGCCTCCAGGTGCTGGGCTGCTGTAGTGGCCTCCGGCTGCTTGCACAGCCACCCAGTCATCCCACAGATGTCCACGGAGTGCCGACTGTGCAGGCACCGTGCTGGGTGCTAGGGTTGCAGTGATGAACACAGTAGGTGTGCTCGCCTTCCTGGTCTTCTGAGGCAGAGTGGTTTTTTATTTATTTTTAAGATTTATTTGAGAGGTAGAGTTACAAACAGAGAGAGGGGTCTTCCATCTGCTGGTTCACTCCCCAGATGACTGCAATGGCCGGAGCTGCGCCGATCCGAAGCCAGGAGCCAGGCGCTTCTTCCAGGTCTCCCACACGGGTGCAGGGGCCCAAGCACTTGGGCCATCTTCCACTGCTTTCCCAGGCCATAGCAGAGAGCTGGATCAGAAGTGGAGCAGCCAGGACTCAAACCGGCGCCCAAAAGGAATGCTGGCACTGCAGGCAGCGGCTTAGCCTACTGTGCCACAGTGCTAGCCCCCAGAGTGATTATTTTAAAAAAAAGATTTGTTTGTTTGAAAGGTAGAGTTAGAGAATCTTTGCTATGCTGGATCACCCCCCAAATGATTGCAACAGTGGGGCTGGGCCAGGCCAAAGCTAGGAGCCTGGGACTCCATCCTGGTCTCCCATGTGGATGCAGGGGCTTTCCTAGGCCCATTAGCAGGGAGCTGGATCGGAAGAGGAGCAGCTGGGACTTGAACTGGCACTGATAAGGGATGCTGACATCACCCAGTGTGTCACAATGCCGGCCCCCAGAGTGGTCTTTCCCAATGATTGTGTCACTCTGCTGAGAATCTGCTGGCTGCTCCTTACTGTTAAGACGTTATTGTGGGGCTGGTGCTGTGGCATAGCGGGTAAGCCGCCGCCTGCAGAGCCGGCATCCATAAGGGCGCCAGTTCAAGACCTGGCTGTTCCACTTCTGATCTAGCTCCCTGCTGTGGCCTGGGAAAGCAGTAAAAGATGGCCCAAGTCTTTGGGCTCCTGCACCCATGTGGGAGACCCGGAAGAAGCTCTTGGCTTCAGATTGGCCCAGCTCCGGCCGTTGTGGCCATTTGTAGAGTGAACCAGCAGATGGAAGACCTCTCTCTCTCTCTCTCTCTCTCTGCCTTTGTCTTTCTGTAACTCTGCCTTTCAAATAAATAAATAAAACATATGTTGACAGGTTAAAAAAAAAAAAAGACATTATTGCAGTTCAGTGCCAGCTCCCCGAGTGGTCTCCCTGTCCCACTCTCCGTCTTGTTCACCTGTCAGCCACACTGGCCTTCAGTCCTTGGAATGCATCAGATTTCTTTTGTCTCAGGACTCGTACATAAACTTTTCCTTTTTAAGATTTATTTATTTGAAAGAGCTAGAGGGGTAGAGACAGATCTTCCACCTCTGGTCACTCCCCAAATGTCTGCAATGGCCAGAGCTGGGCCAGGCTGAAGCCAGGAGCTTCCACTGGGTCCCCCACTTGGGTGCAGGGGCCCAAGGACTTGGGCCATCTCCCGCTGCTCTCTCAGGCCATAGCAGAGAGCTGGATCGGAAGTGGAGCAGCCGGGACTCACATGGGCACCCACGTGGGATGCTGGCGCTGAGCCGGGTCTCTAACCTGCTGCGCCACAGCGCCGGCCCCTGAGCTTTTCCGCTGCTTGAGCTACCTCCTTGCCCACTGCTCTCAGCGGAGTTTTGGGCGTCCTGTAGGTCTCGCTGTGACTTTTTCCGAAGGCCTTTGCCTACAGGGCCCTCTGAATTCCGCGCTCCTCCTCTGCTGCAGCTGCACACCCAGCCCAGCGTCTGCTCACCCCGTTACCAGTGGCGGGGTCCTTGGTTTGCAGTCCAGAGACGTTTCCTTCACTGCCCTGCCCCAGAGCAGGCGCTGTAGAGTTGCTGTCGGGGCAGGGGACAGGAGCTGAGGCGTGTTTGCTCCTTCCCGCCACTTGAAGCTCTCGCAGCAGCTGGTCTGATGAATCGCCTGCTGGCTGTCACTCTGTGTGTGAGTGCAACAGAGCAGGCTGGATGACAGATGGTCTACAGAAGTCTGCTGTTAAGGAAACTCTGAAGTGTTTGAAAACGGGCAGGCGTCGGTGCGGTGGCCAGGCCACCACTTGGGACGCCTGCATCGCGCATCTAGCACCTGGTTCTGGACTCAGCCACTCTGCTTCCGACCGAGGTTTCTGCTGATGTGCACCCTGGGAGGCAGAGGTGACGGCTCACGTATCGGAGTCCCTGCCACCCCGTGTGGGAGACTTGGACTGGGATCCAGGCTTCTGGCTTGGGTCTGGCCCAGCCCTGGTGGTTGTAGGCATTTGGGGAGTACCAGAGCAGATGGAAGCTCTCTCTCCATTTATCTCTTGGCTTTTGAATAAAAACAAATACAAGGTTTCAGTGGATTCGCGAGGCCAGGGTCGTGCAGACAGCCGTGGCTGGCCCGCTGCATTGGACTGCATTGCTCCTTACAATTTTTGATGCTTAGGTATCAGATTGCTGTTCCTTCTGGAATTCAGAAGTTCTGGCCCCAGTGAGACCTGTTCTTTCCCGACCATTGCTCCTCCCATGGCACACCTTGGGGTGCTCGCTCCCAGAATCACCCCACTCAGGAGGGAGCTAAGGCAGGTGGGAGGGGAAACGGGAGGCTGAGGGAGAGAGGGCTGGGGCTGGCGCAGGGCCAGTTGTGGGTAGCCTCTGGATGACCCGGGTTTTGGAATTAGCTAGATGTGATCAGCATTGCCTCCCCTTTGCAACTGTAAATGCTGTTTTGGTTTTGTGTTTTGAAAGCCAGAGTGAAGGTGAGTTTGCAGTTTCCTTCCCAGAATCGAGGCATCTTGGGCCAGGAATGCAGGGGGGCTGGGGAAGGGAGAGTGCATCTTGTTGATTCTCTGTTGCCTATAAAATAATCCAAACTCTGGCTTGGCCCAGGGAGCTTCCTGGCCTGCTTCTAGCCCCCCTTGCAGCTCCCTCCACTTTCCGCCCCTCCAGGCAGCGTAGGCCTCTTTCGGTGAGTCTGTGCTGCTTTCTTCGCTCGGAGCACCTCGCCATGGCCTCCTCCCTTGGTATGTTCTATGCTGACACTTCGTTCACTCCTTTTTGTGTTTCCTGCTAGAAAGAGATTAGTCTGACTTTGGTTCCCAATTCAGGCAAGTATATGGTATCCTTTAGCATACATTTTGGTCAGATTTGTCTCCTGGGTTCTTAACTTTTTGACCCTAATATGTTTTTGGAAGAGATTTACTTATTTGAAATTTATCTTTTATTCACTGGTTCACTCCCCCAAAGGCCATAATGCCTAGGGCTGGTCCAAGCCAAAGCCAGGAGCCCAGAGCTCCATCCAGGTCTCCCACTTGGGTGGCAGGTGCCCAAGCACTTGGGCCATCTGCTGCTGCCTTCCTAGGCTCATTAGCAGGGAGCTGAATTGGAAGTGAAGCAGCCAGGACCTGAACCAGTATTCTGATATGGGATGTGGCATTGCGGGCAACAGCTTAGTTCACTCTGCCACAATGCCCACCTCAACCTTAACCTACAGTTGAATTCAGAGGCAGAGAGAGAGGTCTTCCATCCACTGGTTCACTCTCTAATTGACTGCAACAGCCAGAGCTGCGCCCATCTGGAGCCAGGAACCTCTTTCTGGGTCTCCCATGTGGGTGCAGGGGTCCAAAGACTTGGGCCATCTTCCACTGCTTTCCCAGGCTATAGCAGAGAGCTGGATCGGAAGTGGAGCAGCCGGGTCTTGAACTGATGCCCCTATGGGATGCTTTATCTCTGGGTACACAGCTGAGGACATGTCAACATGGCCATGGCTCCTAATAGCAGAGCCGCTCTTGACCGCCCTGGCCTCCTGCAGCTCTTCGGTGGTGTTTGTAAAGCACTTAACCCAGTATGATTGTTCAGTTTCCGTGTGTGTCTTTCTCCAGCTAGACCGTGTGTCCTCCAGGGCAGGCGCCATGTTGCATTCAGCTCTGTACCCCCAGCATCTAGCAGTGTGGGCACGTGGTAGGCACTCAAGAAATGTGTTGAGTGAACGATGCCTGTGACAAGCACCTGGACTTTATTCTTTCCTGACCCTTGCTCCTGTGACACACCTCCTCCTGACTGTCACTGTCACCCCTTCAAAGCAGAACTTCTCTAGGGACTCTGGAAGGGAAACAGGTGAGGCTCAATGGGTGGCTGAGGGAAAGGTGAGCCTTTGGAATATCGGGGTTTACGGCATTGGTATTTGGGGGCAAGGGGGGGGGGGCTGGAACGTTGACTGGGGACTGGGACTGGTTTCTTTGCAGCTATGGCCAAGGACATCCTGGGGGAAGCAGGGCTGCACTTTGATGAGCTGAACAAGCTGCGAGTGTTGGACCCAGAGGTCACCCAGCAGACCATAGAGCTCAAGGAAGAGTGCAAGGACTTTGTGGACAGTGAGTAGCACTGGAGAGCACAGTGCCATCCCGGCCCGGCTGCGGCCTGGCCCTGCTGGGGGTTAGGCCTGGCCTCTGAATTCCCATGTACCACACTTTGTCTTCCTGCTGTTTTGCAGTCATTAGTCCCGAGTGTCCCTCAAAGCAAATGGGGATGAGTGGAGGGCTTTTTTTCTTCTCTTAAATGATTTTATTATATATCTGAAAGTTGAGAAACTGGTTTACTCCCCAAATGGCCAGGCCAAAAAAAGCCAGGAGCTTGGAACTCCATCCAGGTTTCCTCTGTGGGTACAGGGGCCCACACAGCAGTTCTGCTGCTTCCCCTGGGTATTAGCAGGGAGCTGGATATGACTTGCAGCAGCCAGGGCTTGAACTGGTGCCCACAAGGGATCCTGGTATTGCAGGTGGCTACTTAATCTGCTGTGCCACAGTGTCGGCCCCCTTATTTATTTGAAAGGCATTGCGGCCAGTGCTATGGTATAGTGGGTAAAGCCACTGCCTGCAGTGCCAGCATCCTGTATGGGCGGCAGTTCGAGTCCTGGCTGCTGCACTTCCAATCCAGCTCCCTGCCCCTACACCCACATGGGAGACCTGGAAGAAGTTCCTGGCTCCTGCCTTTGGATTGGCACAGCTCTAGCCATTGTGGCCAACTGAGGAATAAACCAGTGGATGGAAGAACTCTCTCTCTCTCTGCCTCTCCTTCTCTCTCTGTGTAACTCTTTCAAATAAACAAATGTTTAAAAAAAAAAAAAAAGGCATAGTTACAGAGTTCATTTTCTGGTTTACTCCCCAGATGGCCACAATAGTTGAGGCTGGGCCAGCCTGAAGCCAGGAGCCCAGAGCCTCTTCTGGGTCTCCCATGTGAGTGTAGGGGCCCAAGCACTTGGGCCATCTTCTGTTGCTTTCCCAGGCACATTAGCAGGGAGCTGGATCAGAAATGTAGCAGCCTGGTCTTGAACCCATGCCCACATGGTATGCTGGTGTCACAGGTGGCGGCTTAACCTACTATGCCACACACCAGCCCATTTATTTTTTAAAAACAATGTATTTGAAAGGCAGAGCAACAGCAAGAGACAGAGCTAGAGAAAGAGGTATTCCACCACTCCCTAAATGGTCACAAGACTCAGGTTAAAGCTAGGAGCCTTCTGGGTCTCGCACGTGGGTGGGAGGAGCCCATGCACTTGGGCCATCTCCAGTCCAGGTGCTTTCCCAGGCACATTTGCAGGGAGGTGGAGCAGCTGGGATTTGCACTGGCACTCTGATGTGGGATGTCAGCATTGCAGGCGATGGCTTACCCCACTGTGCCCCAACACTGGCCCAGGAGGTGTTTCTAGATACACCGTCTTGAGTTTGTGCTCCTAGAACTTTTATCGAGCAGAATCATGGCTTGAGGGAAGGAAATATAATTTTGTCCTCGAGTTTCATTTCCTGGAAGAAATATTGCTCTCATTGGTAGGCTCTCCATTTTTGGAGTTAGAGATTGTTCCTGGAGTCTTCAGATGCGGCTCAGCAGACTGATGTTTGACTGGAGGTCTCCAGGAATCTGTCCAAGCAGCCTAGCCCGCCAGTGGCTAGAGTCACACTGAGCTAGAGCAGGGCACGCCCTAGGCTTGACTGGCATCAGGTAGCTGGGGTTCTATTGCCAGTCTTCTGTCACTGCTGTGTGCAGGCTGTCCACTCCGCATGGCCTTGGTCCTCCCTTAATAAAATGGGATTCCATCACACCAGAGTCATGGAGAAATTAACTGGAGAGTCGGCACCTAAACGTGGTGGGCTCTTAATTCCCTCTCAAGTCTCTGACATCCAGTGCCCTACCTACCCATGGCTAGACCAGAGGCGCTGCTCCCGTCTGGAGGCAGTCCTGTGCTGGTACTTGCTTGCAGGCAGGCAGGCTAGAGGCCTGCTGCGACAGCAGGGAGGGGACTCGGGGTGAGTGTGCCCTAGGCCAGCAAGCACCAGGCTGTAGTGACACACACTAGAAGGGACAGTTAGCCATGCCGCTCACCGCTCCAAGGGAGTGCCAAGGGGCAGTGGTCATGCTGAGAAAACAGCTCATGTTCTGTTCTTTCTTCAAGAGATTGGCCAGTTCCAGAAAATAGTTGGTGGTTTAATTGAACTCGTTGACCAACTTGCAAAGGAAGCAGAAAGCGAGAAGATGAAGGTAAGACGAGCATGTCTTCTGTCTCCACCTGGGACCCTGCGCACCCAGCCTCTGCCCCCCACCCCCCACCCGCTGAGGGGGATGGCTCCTATTAACTAGGACTTGAATGATGTCTTCTGGTCCAGCTAACTCGCTGGAATTCCACGTCAGTGTGCTCTGTCATTATTTCCTTCAGTCCTCTCGTTAGTGCCGAGAAGGTGGTTTTATCCTAGAGGAAGGCTTGAGAAGTAGACTCCCAGACCGCTTCGGCCTCACCCCAAGGCTGTGGGGTTTCACTGCTCCCCTCACAGGGCCTGCCCCGCTCCCCGCCGTTTCTCCTAGGCCATTGGTGCTCGGAACTTGCTCAAGTCCATAGCGAAGCAGCGAGAGGCCCAGCAGCAGCAGCTGCAGGCGCTCATCGCGGAGAAGAAGATGCAGCTGGAAAGGTGAGCGGCCCCTGCCCCGCTCTGCTCCGCCTCCACGCCGCTCACTTGCCATCCTGAAAATTCCACTCAAGAGGAAGCTTAGTACACTACAGCCTCTTGTAGTTCAGGGAGCAGGGGCCCGCGGGCGGCCACGGCTCGGGGCGGTGCCGGCTCTCCCAGGGCTGCAGGTGGCCTGGGGGCTTCCCCTCTCGTGAGCTTCTTCACTCTGAGCTTGCTGCAGGCTCTGTGTCGGTCTGTAGAGTCAGTCTGGTTACCGCGTCCTTTCTCAGGGCTTCTAACACTTTTGTTTTTCAGGTATCGAGTTGAATACGAAGCTTTGTGTAAAGTAGAAGCTGAGCAAAATGAGTTTATTGACCAATTTATTTTTCAGAAATGAACTGAAAACTTAATTTTTATAGGAGGAAGGCAAGAAAAAAGCCCCCCAACCCCCCAAAAAACCTGTACCAGGCCCTGGGAGACAGTGTCCCAGAAGGCAGTGTGCGGGGAGCTGGTTTCTAAAGGTCCGTGCCCGGCCCCTGCCGCCGAGCACCGGTTCTCACCTCTGCCACTCAGTCTGAACTAAACTCATACAGCTTTGGAAAGAAAAGCAATAAATTATTTTCAAATGGTTTGACCTACCTCTTTACCTGGCATCTCTGAAGCAGCCCCAAGCCCCCAAACAGACCAGGCAGTGGGCAGCAACCACCTTTATTTGGAGCAGACACACACGCCATCAGATGAGTTCCATCACCAGTGGGATTCGCGGACCAACTGGGCAGGAAAGAGGGGCGGTGGGGCCTGGTGTCCACCACCAGTTTTTAGGGCTGGCTTTGAGAACAGTGAACAGGACACTGAGCAGCGCACAGGAAAGTGTGCCGTACCTAGAGCAGGCTGGGCTGATGCCGTCCGCTAGCCAGATGCTTTGGATCAGACTTGAGAATCAAGGGAGCCAGCTCAGGTTGTCTCTGGAAACAAGAAGGCTAAGAAGGTGCCTTTGGAAAACTCCCCCCAGGATGCGGCAGGTGAGCAGCAGCACCTGCTGTGTAACCCGTTTCTGACCAGAAGACACCAGGGCTAGCCTGCAGGAAACGGAGCTTAAACTTCTAGCACACTTTCTTGTGCTACCCCCAGGGGAAGAGGCAAGAACCCACACAGAGCTTCCAATGACTATTAGAGGTGGTTACCAGATTTCAAATTTGAAAATTGCCCGAAACCTCCCAGCCTTCATTCTGCAGTGGCGACAGACTAGAGAACCATGCCAGCCAAGCAGATCTGCTGTGGTCACGTGACTCAGGGGCGCGCCCAGCAGCCATGTCTCAGATGTCTCCCGTGTGTGGGACCTAGGCACACGGTGAGGTTCTCAGCACCACTGCCCTATAACCCAGCCCACACCCATCTGCCCCTCCCAGCGCCTTTGGAAGGTGAGGTTTGACGGCGCCGTCACCATCTTGGGCTTGTGCCTTGTCGTCTGGTAGGTTTCACACGCTGAAGACGTGGGTGCTGTTTCTCCTGTATTGAGTCTGCAAGGCACTGCCCCGCCCTGGGCCAGTGACGGTCTCCCTCATCGCTTCTTTCTCTTCTCCTCAGACCTGTAGTAGGGGTTCCGCAACATGAAAAGCAGCAGTATGAGAGGGATGAGCAAGTAGGGGGCGTAGACAGAGACGAGGATCAGTCTTTCAGGGAGAGTCTCGGGTCCCTGTGCTCGGAAGCCACCCCCGACGCTGAAGTCCTCAAACAGGAGCGTGGAGAGAATGGGGATCACAGTTGTCATGGTGTGAACCGAGTAGATGATTGCAGGCGTGCGGATCCACCTGCAGCTTCCTAGGAGGCAGAGGGGACAAAGGTCAGGGGTGGGTCGTGCAAGGGTGCACACGACATCCGCCACCCCACCCTGTGCTCACCCGCCTCCCTCTCCAAGTGGCAACACAGAACACGTGGCAGGTGTTCTGCCCAGCATGTAAAGTCTGGTGACAGCAGGGCCCTGCTCACTGACTGTCTAGGACCAGGGCTGGGAGTCAGAAAAACTAGGGCAGCGAGCCAGCATCCCAGTTAAAGCTGCTTGGTCAGAGCTGCAAGGGAAGGGTGTTCCTGCACAAGGGCATCTGCTGAGTGATTCTGCACAGGCGGGAGGGCTGGGGGGCTGCAGCAGGAAAGAGGTCAGCGGGGCAAGCCCAGGTACCAAGGACAGGGTGTGACCGCCTACCTTTGAGAGCCCTCTAAGGAGCACTGTGACATAAAAAGTTGAGCCTTTCAGGGGTTAGCTTGATGCTGTTGCTTGTAAGTTGGCATGATGCCATCCAATACAGGAAAATAAAAGCCAATGAAATAAATCTTAAAAAAAAAAGGGGGGGGGGCGGCACTGTGGCACAGTGCATTAACACCCTGGCCTGAAGCGCCGGCATCCCATATGGGTGTCTATTCGAGACCTGGCTGCTCCACTTCCGATCCAGCTCTCTGCTATGGCCTGGGACAGAAGTAGAAAATGGCCCAAGTCCTTGGGCCCCTGCACCCACGTGGGAGACCCGGAAGAAGCTCCTGGCTCCTGGCTTCGGATTGGCGCAGCTCTGGCTGTTGTGGCCAACTGGGGAGTGAACCATCAGATGGAAGACCCCCCCCCCCAACTCTTTCAAATAAATAAATAAATCTTAAAAAAAAAAAAAAAAAGCCAATGATCCATCAATGGCAGGGGAGCTGAGGCACAGAAGCTTCAAGTGGCTTCTGGTTTCATTGGAGATTTCTGGGTAACTGACGATCCTGTTGCCATAAGATCCGATGGGACTTTCACACAAACTACAGGGACCACCCCACTCTGGAGACATTTTACCACATGTCTAAGACCCAATTTCTGAGCAAGAATGGGATTTCCCCACCATCACCAACCTTTGAAGAAGGCGTACGCTGCAATGGGAAAGAACGGCAGCTGAAACACAAGCTCGCAGAACACGAAGGACTGAAACCACTCCGGGGGATCCTGTACCAGAGGGTCCCTGAACTCCCCAGCATACCACTGCAGCAGATTTCTGAACTGAAAAAGAAAGCGTGTTGAGTTAGAGCCACCAGGCCTGGGTAGGCCCGGGGTGCCCAGCCTCCGGGCGGTTGACCACTCTGCCCCCTGCGGCCTGCTGGCGTCCGTGCTGCAGCCCGGGCGGTCACTGAATATACTTGCTGGCTCTAAGGGCACCTTCGCATCTCTCCTGCCCCTTCCGTGTGCTCTCCCAGGTGCGCTGCCCGCTGGCAGCCAGCAGCAGCTCTACAGCTCTTGGGGTTTTCGCCAAGTGCACACACGGACCTTTCTGCCAACGACATCCTTCTCTGCAGAGACAGGACCGACGTGAGACCCACCCTGGCAGTTTCCCATTCTCAACAGTCACTGAGCACCAGACTCCAAAGATTTCCACAAAACACAGAAATGAACTGCCTTGTTTCTCGGGGCCGGCAGAGGTAGAAGAGGAGGCAAACCTAACTTCTGTGGAGACGGAGTTTTGGATACTTCAAGACTTATTTATCATTTGAAAGGCAGAGTTACAGAGGCAGAGGTCTTCCAGCCGCTGCTTCACTCCCCAATTGGCTGCAATGGCTGCAGTTGTGGTGATCAAAAGCCAGGAGCTTCCTCCGGGTCTCCCATGAGGGTGCAGGGGCCCAAGGACTTGGGCCATCCTCCACTGCTTTTCCAGGCCACAGCAGAGAGCTGGATCGGAAGTGGAGCAGCCGGGCCTCGAACTAGCGCCCATATGGAATGCCAGCACTGCAGGCGGTGGCTTTACCCGCTATGCCACAGTGCTGGCCCCGTGGAAACTCTAATACCACAGAAAAGTCCCTTGTTATTTATAACTCCCTCGGTGTAACTTTTTTTCTCAGGAATCCAGTAGCAGATTTGTGGAGGAACAAACTGCCCCAGACTAGGGGGTTCCTGGGCTCCGGCGAGGTTTCAGAATGAGCAGTCTCGGGTCTAGCTTGGGTGCTGCACTTATAACCACTGTGTCAGACACAGAGACGCAGGTCCAGACTGACACTGCCATGGGCAGCATGGACCAGACTCTGACGCTGTCTACCCTGGGCTTCTACAGGACCCCGAGGCCTAGGATCTTTGCTCTGCATGGACTATCTAGAGGTGGTGTGGTCCCTATGACACACAGGCTTTCAAAGCCAAGGAAGTGTAGTGTAGTGGGTAAAGCCATCACCTGCAAAGCTGGCATCCCATATGGGCACTGATTTGAGACCTGGCTGCTCCACTTCCAGTCCAGCTCCCTGCTAATGTGCCTGGGAAAGCAGCAGAAGACAGCTCAAGTGTTTGGGCCCCTGCACCCAAGTGGGAGACCCAGATGAAGCTTTTGGCTCCTGGCTTCAGTCTGGCCCAGCCCTGGCCGTTGTAGCCATCTGGGGAATGAAGCAGCAGGTGGAAGATCTCTCTGTAGCTCTGCCTTTCAAGTAAATAAAATCTAAAAAAAGGGCAACTCCAAGGTAAGAATTTATCTTAAAATGGAAAAGAAAACCCAAGGATATTTTTCCTGTTAATTTTTAATCAAAAGATAAATTTCGCTATTGTGAAACAGAGGCCTCATTCTACAAGTATGTTTTAAGCAAATATCCAGAAACAAACATTCTGTTAGCCTAATATTGACTTCAGAAAGCCTCTGGCTGGCTAACCAGTGTACTGACTACATGATCTCTGGTTTGTGCTTTTTAAGTTTGAGTTCCTGGTACTTTTCAGGACAGTAAGGGAGAAGAAAGCACTGAAAGGCTAAGCGTGTGCCTCCTGGTCATTTGTAAAAGATTTTTTTTTTTTTTTTTTTTAAGATTTTTATTTATTTGAGAGGCAGAGGCAGAGAGACAGACACACAGATCTTCCACCTTCTGGTTCACTCCCCAAATGGCCGCAACGGCCGAAGCTGGGCCAATCCAAAGCCAGGAGCCACGAGCTTCTTCCAGGTCTCCCATGGGGGTGCAGGGGCCCAAGGACTTGGGCCATCTCCTACTGCTTTCCCAGGCTGTAGCAGAGAGCTGGATCGGAAGTGGAGCAGCCAGGACTTGAACCCGTGCCCATGTAGGATGCTGGTACTTGCAGGCGGTGGCTTTATCTACTACACTGCAGCGCTGGACTTTTTTTGGGGCGTGGTTTATTTGAAAGGCAGAGAGAGAGATCTCCCACTTGCTGGTTCACTCCTCAAATGGCCAGGGCTGGGCCAGACCAAAGCCAGGAGCCAGAAACTTCTTCCTGGGTGCAGGGGCCCCACATGGGTGCAAGGGCCTAAGGACTTGGGCCATCCTCCACTGTTTTCCCAGACACATTAAGCAGGGAGCTGGATCAGAAGTGGAGCAGCTGGGACATGAACTGGAACCCATGTGGGATGCCAGTGCTGTAGGTAGCAGCTTAAGCTACTACACCACAACACGGGCCCCCAGGCTAAAAGTTTTATTCAGATTTTTACTTTCTAAATCTAAAAAAAAATAAGGCTGGGGGCCGGTGCTGTGGTATAGCAGGTTAAGCCACTGCCTACAATACCAACATCCAATATCAGAGCACCAGTTTCACTCCAGGCTGCTCCACTTCCAATCCAGCTCCCTGCTAATGCGCCTGGGAAAGCGCATGGACCCATGCCACATAGATGGGAGACCTGGATGGAGTTCCTGACTCCTGGCTTTGGCCTGGCCCAGCCCTTGTGGCCATTTGGGGAGTGAACCAGCAAACAGAAGATCTGACTCTGCCTTTCAAGTAAGTCTTTTTTAAAAAAATAGTAACACTGTAAGAAAATATTGTAGGTTTACAGCATTTAAGAAGCTGATGAACCCACTTTATTCCATTTATCTACAGTCTTGCACATCCCCTGCTCACAGCCTGTACAGGCCCATACAGCACGTCAGTGTCCAAGGGCTGCAGGTTGAAAGTAGCAAAACTTAAAAAGATTCTCATCTGCCAGCTCTCATAGTTAATTAGGATCCAGCCACCTGAAGGAGCTCTGGACTGACGTTGGGTGGAAGTGAAGGCCAAGGCCACCTGCAGAATGGGCAAGGCCTTCAATCTCGCTGTGCCAGTGACCAATCACAGCAGCTCCGTCTCGGAAGGTGAGCCGCCATGAGTTACCCTATGCTCTTCAGATAAGTGGCGAGCGCAGATTACTTAACTGAATGTGACTGACACACATCTGGAGATGTTCAAGTCTAGTCTTATTAAAATCTTGACTCGCACTGGTCATTACTTATCAGCAGGGCCGGTGCTGTGGTGTGGTGGGCTAAGCCTCCGCCTGTGGTGCCGGCATCCCATACGGCTCCGGCAGTTGTAGCCATTTGGGGAATGAGCCAGGAAGATTGCTCTACCTCTGCCTCTCGGTAACTCTGCCTTTCAAATAAATAAGCAAATATTTTTTTTTTAAAAAGTTCTCTAGGAAAATTCCTTTTATTTAGGTAGAAAAACAGCAGATGTTAAAATCTGGCATTTTTCAAAGAGAATCTGAGGATAACTTAAGGCTTTTATTATTTTGTATTATTTTCCTCACAAAGAAGCAACAAAATAATGATTGCTATCCCAAAGCAATAAGAGCAAATAGATGCACAGGCCTCCCAACCCAGGGTGCCCTGGGCTAATGACTCCAACATCACCACACAGTTTCTGCCAGAGGCTGCCTACAATGGCCCTTAGCCTTCTGCTGTAGTGTGGTAAAAAAGCTGAGAAAATTTTCACGAAATATACAGATAGGGACATCACAGTACTGAACACATTTTTATCGCATATTGGGAGCAAGGGAGACTTTTGGGAAGGATGTACCAGAGGGGAGAAAGAAATCCACACTTTTTTTTCTTCATAAGTTTTTCATGAATTTTTTGGAGATCCTTTGTATGTATCGACTTCAGTTTTTTTGTGCCAGTATAAGCTTACTTTTAATTCCATTTTCCATAAACTTTTTTACATCCTACTTGATCCTGTGTGGAGGGATGTATAACTGCCCCCAAAGGTGTTCACAATATAATCCTGGAACCTGGGACTTTGCAGATCAGAGTAAGGACCTTGAAATGGGGAGATTTTCCTCGGTTACCCTGGTGTCCCTGGGAAAGTGGGGCCTAGGGAGACAACATGGCACTTGGTGAGCACTGCAGTGATGCGGCCACGCGAAGCTGGGAGAGACCAGCGGGTTCTGGAGAGCCCTGGGAAGGGACCACTCTGTCGACACCCCGGGAGAATCATTTCCAACTCGGAACACTTCAGAACTGTAAAATAAATGGGAGGGGCTGGTGCAGGTAGGCAGCTGTCAAAGTTGCCACGTGGCACACCTGCATCCCACGTGAGTGCGGGGTTCGTGTCCCAGCGACTGCGCTGCTGATCCGGCCGCCTCCTGCCAATGCACACCTGGGAGGCAGGTAGTGGCTCAAGCCCACGTCGGCAACCTGGGTGGAGTTCTGAGCTCCTGGCTTGGGCATGGTCCAGCTAGCCCTGGCTGTTAAAGGCGCTGGGGAAGGGAACCAAATAGATTTCTTTCTCTCTGTGCCTTCTGAGTAAAATTTAAGGAACAGGTTAAGTCACTATGCGATCATTTGTTACAGCAGCAATAGGAATAAACTAGGAGACTGGTGTATGTGTGACTTAGAACCCGATCTGAGTCTCGGGACAGGTGAGGCCCCAGAACCCCGACTTTCCCACCCGGCCGGTTCTGGGAGAACCAAGAAGCCCAGGCTGCAGTCCAAGGCTCTTGCCACTGTCTGAGCCTCTCCCATGGGGAGCAAGGTCAAAGGTCCTCCCAGTCATGCTTGGTTCTAGAAGCAAGCCACATGGAGATCTACGGGAACAGGGTATCCTGTTGAGGTACGGTTCTCAACCTCTGGAGGGCGAGGGCCCTGGAGAAGCTCATGAAAGCCACACAGTCCGCTCCCAGGAAACGCAAGGCCCACGCGAGTCTGCACACACCACGGGAGCGCGCTGGCCTCCGCCTGACAGGAAAAACAGCGGCCAACTCCAGTCTCCAGGTGGGCAGGTCAGCCTCGCCCGACAGGACGGGGCGTCCACGAAGGAGACAGGCTCCAGAGACAGAAAACACAGAAACGCAACGGCAGCTCTGACGTGGGGCACACGCGCGCCCAAGCCCAGTGCGCGGTCAGAAAGCGCTCCAGGACCCAGGACAGGCGGCCTCCCGCCTTCGCTTCTCCTCCGGGCCCGGTGGAGCCGGGGGCCCCGACCCGCCTGGCGCACGGAGCCGGGGGCCTCGCCGCGGGCACTCGGGGACCGGGAAGCCCTCCCACAGACCGCAACTGCAAACACGCCCCGCACGCGACTCCAGGCCCTTGCCGCAAACCCCGCCAGCTGACCAGAGTTGGACTCGCGGGAGCCTTAAACGTCTAAGGAACACAGTGAGTTGAAGCTGGGCAAAGCGGGGCCCGGGGTACCGGCAGAAACCGAGACGGCGCGAGGGCCGAGGCGGACGGAGAGCGGGGAGAAGCTGCGGGGCGCCGGCGGCCTCCAACTCCGCAACCCGCGCGCCGCGACCCACCGGGCACCCCTCACCTCGACCGCGTACAGTTCCTCCGGCAGCACCATCTGCAGGTCCAGGAACAGGGTGATGGGGATGTGGGTGAGGAAGTAGAGGCCCATAAGGCACTCGAGGAAGCGTCTGACCGTCGGAGACCGCATCGTCCGTCGGTTGGGCGGGTAGGCGCCGACCCCGCGCTCTCCAGCCCACGTCGAGACGGGAAGCAGGACCGCGCCGGCGCACCGTCCCAGGACCCAGCGCCTCAGCTGCCGCCCCGCCCCCTTGAGGGCGCCACAGGCGTCTCCCATTGGCGGGCAGAGAACTGAGGCGGTGCACTGCTGGGGGCGGGACTCCTCTCAGGACAAGTCCATTGGCTCGAGTGAGTCTAGCATGTGGAGCGCGTGCCCGACGAACGGTTGCCATTGGTCACCGCGAAAGCCGCGCGAGCAGGGGCGGGGCTCTAGGCGCGCCACGTCGGTCGGCGCGCGGGCACAGGTGGTTCAGAGCCCGGATGCTGGAGTACGGGTGGGCGCCTTGTGGCGGCCGCTTCTCAGTTTCCGCGCTCTGGTTGTGCAGCACTTGCCAGCGCTTACCGTGTACTGGCCCCCGGAGCTCATGGAAGCGGGGCCCCCACGTCAGTGGGGGTGTCACGGAGCAGGGCAGACGGACACTGCGGGCTGCCTGGGAGGGATCGGGCGGTAGCCAGCCGCTGTTAAAGCCCCAGAAGGGACTGTGATCGATAGGATGTGGTGAATGGTTGCGGAGGCTGAGGGAGACTCAAGTATTCATTTATGCATTCAGCAAGCAATGGTCTTTATGCGGAGCCCGGGCCTGGCCTGGACCCTGCCATTTGCCCAGGAGAGAGGACGCAGAGTGAGTTTGGGGCACTCTCTTGCAGCACGTGAGTGGAGGCGGCTACTCCGCAGTTGGATGGAGACACAGATTGTGACACGTCCGGTTTGGTAGGAGATGACGTTTTGAGAGGAGAGGGTTTGGAAGAGATCCTAGAGGTGCGCCAACCTCAGGGGTCATGGGAGGAGGGGCCCGAGGTGGCGGTAGACGGGACTGACGTCACAGGAAGGCGGGCCAGCCGCTTTGGGGCAACCTGGAATGGTGCCCACCTGCGACCCTCTTGAGATGGGGCCGTGGCTGGAGGGAGCCGTACTGACCCTTCCGATGAGAGAAGAACTTGTTTGGATGCTGTTTGAAGTTTGGGGGCTGGGGCAGACAGCATGAAGACTGACTCAAGGCCCCCCAAGGAGGTAGAGGGAAGGTAGAATTAGGGCCAGGCTGGAGGTGGTCTGTGACCCCCACCCCCATCAGTGGGCACCCTGAGTCTAGGGCAGTGTGGCTGGGTGGCACTGTCTGGAGGCCACGCTCTCCCCGGCGGTTTCTGTCTGCAGAGTTGGATTCAGGACAGAGGTGACTGAGAGGGGTTGAGCGATGAAGCATGCGATTCAAGCTGGATGGCGAGACCTGTGAGGCCAGTGTGGTTGGCGACTGGGAGAAAGTGGACAAGTGGAGGGACTGGAGGCTGTGCTGAGGCAATGTTTGCAGTGGGAAGCTGGGAGATTAGGACAGGGGGCGCCATGTCTGAATTCCTGGTGTGTCTCTAGGAGGTTCTGCCCATGGCGGGAGTGTGGCTGAAATGGAGGAACTTGAAATGGAGGAGTTTGGAAGCCCAAACCCATCTAGGATGGTGGTGGCTACTGGGTGGGCAGAAGGCTGACTTAAAAGGGGAGTGACCGACTGGGCTGGGTCTAAGGGCACGGCAGGTTAAGCTGCCACTTGCGATGGCCGTATCCTATTTCAGAGTGTTTGAGACGCCTCTGTCTCCTATCCATCATCCTGGTATTGTGCACCGTTGGAGGCAGCAGGTGATGGCTCAAGTACTCGGGTCCTGCCGCCCACCTGGGAGACCGGATGGAATTCTTGGTTCCTGGTTTCGACCTGGCCCAACCCTGGCTGTTGTGAGCAGGTGGAAGCTATCTCTGAGTCACTCTGCCTTTCAGATAACCTTGTTTGGAAAAGAGGAGTCAGCAGGACGAAGGTGATGACACATGCCTTAAACCTCAGAGAGTGGAGGGTCAATGGTGGGGACATGGCCTTGGGGGCAGCCAGGCTGGTGCTCCTGACTTGAGACGTGGGAGAAGGTGACAGCCTGAACCAGAGGGAAGCCGAGTCCCGGGGAGAGCCAGGTGTCTCTCTGTGAAGGTGACGGCTGAGGGGTGGAAGGGTTGTGTACCCGGAGAGGACTGGTAGAGCAGGCGGCAGTGCAGGCAGCTGGGCACTGTGAGGACACGCTGCTGTCCTCTGACCGTCAGGACCCCAGGGCCGGCACCCAGAGGGCAGGAAGGACATCAGTGCCACCCTCTCCCCGCTCCAGGCCAGGCGCTGTGCTCAGAGGAGAGCGTTTTCCTGATTCAGAATTAGCTGCTGCTTTTTCCAGAAAAACAAGACCGATGCCTGGGGAACCGCAGGTCACATGGTGGGTGAGACTGGTTTGTGGACAAACTAAACCTTTGAAGGCAAGTTGTTCCTCTCTGGCCTCTGGTTCTACGCATACGGCTCACCTTTCTCTCCCTCTGCAGAGCACTCACTTGAAGAACAAGGAGAGCTGGGGAGGACCCTCAGCAACTACGGCCTCACACCTCCCGAGGAAGCAGCTCCCAGGCCTGGGCAGCAGGAACACTGTATTCAGGATAGGGCCTGTCAACCGTGTGCCCTCATCCCAAACCCAGGAGGGCTTAAAGGACCTGGGAGGACCCTTTCAAATACACGGAGTGTAGATTCTGCTCGCTGGGGAAAGGGAGTGTGGCTCCTCAACTGGGTTAAGCACAGTTGTCCATGTAACTGCTCAAAAACCATTTCACCCAGCCAAGTTTGTCATCCAGATAAAGAAGGCCAAGCACTGTCACCAGAAGGCCTCACCAGCCAACAAAAATTCTGCCCGGCAGCTGTCTTCTCTTTGGAATTCCTTTGGTGGCAGAATCACAGCTCTTAAGGTGTTGGGGTCAGTAGGTCTGAGAGAATGGCTCCGGCAGAGGTCAGCTGAGGAAGAAGGATGGTGAAACAGGTGGTCGCCAAAGCACATCTTCCCCGTCCTGATAAAGACAGACAGTGTTTAGTGCCTTCTGAAAATCACTCGTGCTATGACAACACCACCTACCAGTAGCAGTCCCCAGGGTGGTGGAAAGGGAATGAGCGGGAGCATTTTAACCCCAGCTGGAAGGGGGTGGAGGTGGCCGGATGTGGTACGTGGCCCCACAATGGCCAGTTTCCTCTTGGGCAGTTAACTACAAAGCTCTGCTTTGGCTTCACTTTTCTGCACACACCTTTCTCACACCCTCCTCCACATCCTCCCCTAAGTATTTTAAGGCCCAGTTCAAGGCCTCCTTCCAGTGGCCTCTGGTGGCACTGCGTACCACTCTAAACCTCTGTGGCACTCAGGGTCCCTATTCCCTTCCACTCTGAGCAACACTGATCTTAGTACTTGTCTCTGGACCTGTCTTCCAGTAGACCACATAAATCTTCATTTAACACAAAGCTGGGCTCATTTCTGAGTGAGCTATATATAAGTCAGTTTCCCCTACTCCTCGCAGTCACCTGGTTTAACTGTGAAAAAATACCAGGTGTGGGGCTGGTGCTGTGGTGTAGCAGGTAAAGCCGCTGCCTGCAGTGCTGGAATCCCATATGGGCACCAGTTCGAGTCCCGGCTGCTCTACTTCCAGTCCAGCTCTCTGCTGTGGCCTGGGAAAGCAGTGGAAGATGGCCCAGGTCCTTGGGCCCCTGCACCCACATTGGAGACCAGGAGGAAGCTCTTGGCTTCGGATTGGCGCAGCTCAGGCCATTGCAGCCAACTGGGGAGTGAACCAACAGATGGAAGACCTCTCTCTCTCCTCTGTGCAACTCTTTCAAATAAATAAATCTTAAGAAAAATATACCAGGTGTATATAAATAAATCAATGTAACATAAGGTATAGGTGGTAGCAGTGAAGCGACTCATTTAATGGATGCATTAACATTGATCATTTGTAGGGTGTCCACTATTTTACTGAAGCAAGGATTGGTAAGGTTTTTCTATAAACAGCCAACAGATATTTTAGGTGTGTGTGTCAGTCTGTCCCAGCTGTTCAACTCTGCCATTTGTTGAGTGGAAACAGCTATAATAAATATGTACATTAAAGATGGCCTTGTTCCATGAACTTTACCAAAGAGGAGCCCTAATTTGACCTGTGGCTGTCATAATTTGACACCTGCTCTAAGGCATTGTCAAGGTGGGCCAGGTCCCCTGGTCCTGGATTGTCACTAAGAAGGGGAGAGGCCCCGATCTGGAAGTGGTACAAACCCTTTCAGTCACATTCATTTAGAGAACCTGGTCATGTACCCACATCTTAGCAGTGGGGGCTCTGGGAATGCAGACGAGCCTATCTATAGGCCTGGGAAGAGAGAGATGACAGAGGTCCATGAGCAGACGCCAGGGCAGTTTTAGAACTTCCATCCGAGGTGTGCTTCACCCAGAGAAATTCTGGTGAGCCCTTCCCTATACTAGGATATTTTAAAAAGTCTGTGGAAAATGGAATTAAAAGGTAAGCTTATCCTGGTGCAAAAAAAATTTTGAAATCCATGAATAATTTTATAACACAGTTTCTATGTGTAGTTTTGAAGATCCTCAGATGGCTGAGTCTATTTGGGAAAAGAAAAAACTGTAGAAGGAATGACAGAATGAGGAAGTCACCATTTCCCAACCACTGACAGACATGGTGCTCAACAGATGGCAACTGGATGCCATTTTTGAGGACTACGTTGTTGTACAATATTTCTCCACAGATTACTTGTTAAGAAGGGCACAAGGGATCTTGCCAACAGTGAGCACTGGCACTCACAGACTGGACCAAATGAGCATCTTACTATCACCAAAATGAGACTCCTGACTTGATGGAGTGGGAAGTGTATGACATCACCTCTGTAACAGTTTTTCCAAAAAACTGAGCTCGAACCTAAACATGAAAAACAAACAGACAAATACCAATCTCTGTGGAACTTTGTATGTAACAAAGGGCTTTGCACATGCATAAATGCCAATGAAAAAAGGCAGAGGTACTCTCATATATTAATAGGTGCTAAAAGGACACACCAAATGCAAGATGCAATCCTTGACTGGATCCTGAACTGGGTTAAAAAAAAAAATCTATAAATGAAATTTTAGGAATGTGAGAATGTAGGCAATATGAAGTAATATATTAACGGTTGGATTTCTTAGATAATTAGTAAGATAATGGAATTTAGTTTTGTAAGGTAAATGCTT